ATTGATTCATCCTTATCTCTTTTCCCTGCCATGGACAAATCAGCACTTTTGACACGTCAGTTATTAATACACATAAATGCCTTTTTAAAAATCCTTTCTCTTTCAGAAAACTAATTTTAATCTTAACATACAGATATAATTTAGAGCAGGGGTCGGCAACCTTAAACACTCAAAGAGCCTTTTGGAACCATTTCCCACAGGGAAAAAAACTATAAAAAAACAATAATGTGTTGCATTTATGAAATCAATGAACTGCTACGAAGAAAACAAATTTTTATTTCTGCATGCAATAAAAACATTTTGAACTCAAAAAAGATGCTGGGTCAAAGGTTACTTTCAAATAAAACACTCATAATAAAATTATCTCCATACCTCATCTCTTAATTAAAAAAAACCATCAAAATATTTCATTAAACATTCTTTACTAAAAGTCTAGTAAAGACAACCACATATATTCATATTCTCTCTCTCTCCCTCCCTCCCTCTCCCTCCCTCTCTCTCCCCTTTCCCTTCCTCCCCCCTTCTCTCTCCCTGTCCCTCCCTCCCTCTCTCTCTCTCTCTCCTCTCTGCCTTGAGAAGAAACTGATTCAAAGGCTGAGAAATTTCATTCAGCCAATTTTGGGGGTCTGGGAAAAAGGCCCCCTTGAAACCCCTTTTTGGCAATAGACTCAGTTTCACCTGCACTCAAATTGCTTCCTTCTTCATAGCTGGGAAGGTTCCTGATTTGGGGGAGAGAATCTAAAAACACCCACAAACATTAAAACTAAAATTCGAGTCATAAGAAACACATCCTGTGGCAAGTTGTCCAGCATTGAGTTGGTTGTGGCAAGTTGGGTCCCTCTGCCCCCCCATTCCTGGCAGAAACTGCCATCAGGTAGTGGGACCCCCTCCCCACCTCCTTCTTCAGGAATGGCTGGTTCCTGAGGCTGGGAAGAAGGCTGGCTAGCTGCAGGCAGAGGATGGTCGGGGGGGATTCTCCCACCGAACCCCCCCCCCCAAAGGCCCCCTTGATATCCCCCAAAATCTCTTCTGTCCACCCTGCTCTGAAAGAGGGATTTGGGCTTTGTCAGTCTTCAGTCGGGGGGAGAAAATCTTCCTTCAGGGGATTCTTGCAGTGAAACCAACAGAGGCACAGAAACAGAAGAGCCGGTTCTGGAGTTTTCACACGAAAACAGCCTGGGTGAAATCCCCTTTTTTCCCTCAAACCTCCATCTGCACATCGTCTACAAATCAATTGCCTTTGTTTTGCTTTGGGAAAGATCGGAGGGCTTCAGAGTTTCCCTGCATTTGGCTTGGGGGTGTCTGTTGTGTCCCTGGCTGGGTGGGCTCACACGCCTCCCTCCCTCCCCTCCCAAAACTCTCTTCCTCTTCCTTTGATCCCTCCACCCCCAAAAAATCCACCCACATATGAGTTTGGGGGTTGGGATGAGAATCCAGCCCGGTCTCTCTCCCTTCTGCTCACCTCACACTCTTCTTCGACAGGATGACATACCGCAGACATTCTGATTGGGCTGGCTTTAAATTGGCGCTCCTCTCCTGCCCTTGCTGCGTGTCCCTCTTCCTTTCCAGCAGCCGGGACTCTGGCGCACCTTCCCGACCAGCGGGGCCAACAGTAGTGCTGGATGGGGACCAGGGGCTGTGCTCCCTCGGGGTAACAGCTTGCGGGAGAGCTATCCTGCTCAGCAGAGGCTCCAGCAGGCCGGGGCTGCCCCGTGCGGCTCCCTGGCCAGTGCGCCTCAGACGAGGCCAGCCCGAGAAAGGGAATTCCTGGCCATGCTTATTTCAGGGGCGGGGCGCCCAGGCATTGGCTGGCCAGGTGAACAGAATATCGGAGAGAGGGAGAGGGAGAGAGAGAGAGAGAGAGAGAAGGGAAGGGAAGTGAAGCGCAAGTGCCTCACTCTGTCTCTTTCTCTCTCTCTCTCTGCAAATGGTGGAGGAGGACTGCTCTGCAATCAAAACTATTATTCAAACAACTTAAATCAGAATAACTGTTTGAACAGTGGTTTCATAAAACTATAACAATTCATAATGGGAGTTCACACTATTGATCATGTAGTTTGATACGCTTTGAAGCTTCTGTTGCATTTCAATGACTTGATTCCCTGAATAGTTCCGAAGACCTTTCGGGAGAGGTTTGGTCAAAAAGTAGATTAATGAGGGTCCAAATGTCTGTGGTGGTTGACTCTTCCGTGCAGGAGATCTCCGTTTCACATACATCTAAGATGAAAAGAAAACTGGTTTGCAAAGACATTCTAGGTGAGATCAAACTAAAGCCCATTCAGACAGAGATAGTCTGTAACTCTTGCTCGTGTAGATTACTGTATAACTATAGACAGTCCACCCACTAACTGGAGAGATTTAGCCAGCAGGATAAAGAGATGAAAACTTAGTCTGAAATACTAGTATTTGGGAGAGATTAGCCTCCTTTTATGATTTACCTCCTAAAAACTGGTTAGTGCTGTTGGAATGTATACACACACACACACACACATACATACACACAGAAACACACTTTTTCATGCACACGCACACGATTAGCAATCAAGCCTCAAGGGCCCATGACAATGTTTTATTAATATTTTCAGATAAAATGTTATTGTACTTGGGAATAGTCAAAGATCATGAGTCAAGTGAATAAGTGTTTAGAAGAAAATGGCAACCAATTTGGTATAGCTTGTCTATGTGTTTGCTACTTTTCTGATGACTTGGGCCTTTATTTTTGTTGCATGCCACTCAAAAGTGTTTCAGAATGCAGTAGCATAGAAATGCCAACAATAAATGTATTATGTATTTAGCTGATTCATAAGGTCTGTTATAAAAAATGGTTAACTGTTGCTTTTAATTGAATTATAGACTCTCTGTATAACTTTAAGCCTTTTAGGCGGGAATGAATCCTTTAAACTGATTGGCCGCCACTTAGTGGCAGTCCGTACAATATGAGTCAAGCAGCTGCTAGAGTTTGCTTCTGTGAGAACTAATAAAGAGCTGTTGTTGCAATTCCTTGTCTTCAATGTCTTGCTGTTCCCACAACACAACAAAATAGCATATACAAGAATCATATGATCATATACATTAATTATCCAGAAGAAACAGAGTAATTGAATAATAACGAGGATACTGCAATAAGGTACGTGGGCATTCAGTTTCATCTGGGATTCAAATTGCATAGAAACATGCTTTCTTACACTTTATATTAAACTCAAGAAAACGGGTAGCATAGGTTTAAATGATATTTGCCTGCTACAACTGCATTTTCTTTTGCAGAGAACAATGTATCATCCATGACATTGATTGATCTGTCTGTATCATCCAAGCCAGTATTTTGCTCCATTCCAAGAGATTTTACATGCACATATTAAAGGGTGAGGGGGGGGAGAATATTACTGTTCAAGCTGTAGATGAAAAAGATAAAACTGTAAGTGTGGTTCTTTGCCACTGTAAAATCATACAAGTATTTTCTGCACAAATGCAGAAAACAGAAAGCCGAAGGTTCTGCTCAGAATAGTCCAATGCTTAAAAGCTGTGTTTCGGACCTGCCTTCTGGCACACCATACATTTTCCTAAGCACGGCCTCCACAAATGTCCTTAGTTCCTGAAATCAGGAATCCTGGTGTGTCGTGGTTAGAGTGCAATATTACAGGCCAACTCTGTCCACAGCCTGGAGTTTAGTCCTGATGGGGCTGAAGGTTGACTCAGCCTTTCATCCTTCCAAGATTAGTAAAATGAGGACCTAGATTGTTGGGGGCCATATGCAAATTATGCTTCAACATTGTAAACCGCCCAGAGAGTGCTTTAAAGCAAGGCTTTTCAAACTTTTCACAGAATGTACCACTTTTAGGACATGACAATATTTGAGTACCACCAGTGCTTAGCAAGATGTCAAAAAAAAGGGGAGAGGATTTTGGATTTTACTGGTTAGATTCATTTGTTGTTGTAGAAATGGCTAGTTTGTAATATTATGGAAAAGTACGAAGTTGAGGTTCAGTGTTAATGCTTCCTTCTACTGCAACAGTGGAAGCCAGAAGTCAATGCCATTTCTTTTCTTTTTCCATTCTCCCCCTTACTTTTCTTTCCCTTTTTCCTCCCCACTATGTCCTACTACCATGTTTCCCTGAAAATAAGACTCGGTCTTTTTTTTTGGCTCCAAAAGATGCACCAGGACTTATTTTCAGGGTAGGCCTTACCCCACCTCCAGCTCGGACTGCCTCACCTAGCTGGTCCATTACATCTGGGGCTGAAGTGCTGCAGCTGCATTTGGGCCTGCATTCTGCAGTTAGGCCTTTAAAGAAGGCCTAAGCAGCCATGTATCGAGCTATGGATTCAGTCCGTTGCTTAGTGCATGGCTGCACAGGCCTTCCAGAAAGCCCTGTGACTGAGAAATGCAGGCCTGGCTGCAGAAAAGGCTTCAGAAAAAGAAGTGGGCCATCAAGGAGAGGCCTACCTGCAAGGTACGTGGGTGTGAGGGGGATGGGGCAGCTCCACACCCCAACCCCCGTCCTAGCTTGATTTTTAGGTGTGTGCCTTGCCCCAAAACTAGGGCTTATTTTGGGGATAGGGCTTAAATTAGACCCACCCCCCAAAATCAAGCCAGTGTTTAGTTTCAGGGTAGGCCTTACTTTCAGGGAAAAATGGTATTTGCTTTTTTATTTTTATTTTATTTTATTCTATTTTATTTAATTTCTTTGGTGGCAATTCCTTTGCAGAATCACTTTTCCTTTACACTGACAAATATATGATGACTTTCTCAATATTTATTAATATACACGACTGCCTTGATGGTCAGATGGCTGGTTGGCCCTACTTCCTCTCTCCCTCACCTCTCTCTTTCTCCTCACCCTTCACTCACAAACCCCCCTCTCTCTCACACATATCCCCCAAACACATTTCCTCACACACACCTCCGCAAAAGCCTTTCCTCCCTTCCTCACACACACACACACACACACACACACACACACACACTTCCCCCAAAGCCTTTCCTCTTTGTCTCTCTCACCGCTTCTCTGACAAAAGCCTTTTCTTTTCTGATTCTTTCTCCAACATCTCCCTCTCCCGCCAAAACTGCCTCCTTTTATAGCCTCTCCTGCCTCGGCCTACCTCCTTTCTCTTCCGGATCTTGTGCCAGAGACGGTTTTTCTTGCTCTGAGTTTTAAGCCACTTTCATTCTTCAGGTCTGGCTTTCCTTTCGGAGAGACATCTGAAAGAACAGTGCTTTCCTTCTGGATAAAGGGACTCGTTAATGTTACAGAAATATTACTGAAAACTGAAGGACCAAAAGATCCATTGTCGAAGTCATCAGTTTTTTCCAAAGTTACAAAAGCCTGCCTTCTGTTCACCACTACCTGTAGTGTGGCTGAAATTATATCACTAGAAGGTGAGGAGTTGCTGCTGCCATTAGGGGTTTTTTCATTCAAAGTAGAATCTAATATTGGAGATTGTATTGGAATACCGAAATCCAACTCCTCATTTTTCTGATCCAGCCTCTCTTTCTTAAGGGTATTAGTTTGCTTGGTAACATACAACATACAAGTCATACATAACTTGTAAGTCATTGCTCAAAGCAATTCAGTGCCGATAAAGCAGAGTGGGAAGACTAGGAATAATGCAACATGTTGGCTGCCATCATATCAACATTAGCTACTATAAAAGACACACATTATTTTTGATACCTACATAAAGGTTGGTTATAGCATGATCACACCTTCTTGGGAATGCAACATATAACTGCCATAATTTATTTAATGTACAATTTCAGAGTGATTCTTTTCAATCAATAAATGTAGCAAAACCCTTGTATGCCAAAAGGAAAAAAAATGTTAGTACTATCTCTGTGGGCAGATATTGTTTTACTATTTTTTTTAACAAAGAAATGTTCTAACAATACATACATCAGTGCTACAGTAATGTCTAGTCCCAACCACTAACAAAGATCATCTTCTGTTGCGACGCAACAGACTACAGGATCTTCCATCCCCTCTCATCCGTCTACTGCAGGGATAAGGAAAATGATACAACCAAAGTATCTATAAAAATGAAGATTTCTGCAGGCAGAGGGTATTTGTCAATCGAGCCTGTGAGTCCACAACAAGCCATGACCTCATCAAAATGGTAGAACCTGGTTCATGACATCAAGCTTTGCTCCTTACATGCTTACATATAAGGTCATGATGACAAATTGTAAATGGGGAAGAAACTTAGATTATGTCACATTTTATCATTACCTCATCATTGCCTGCCTGCCTGGGTGGAAGAGTTGCCATTTCTTGGGAGAAAAAAGAACCCTCGTGGGTCTGAACGAATAGGCATCTTTGGGATGAATATATATTCACTTGTGGGACTGAACAGTATCATTGTTAGACGCAAAAATAGTCACAAATTGAAATCCACTCTGAGTTACAAATAGAAAAGAAGTTTATTAGACTTCACAACAAAGTCTAAAAAAATAACGGTTTGCAAAGCGTGGTGGATTCAGAAGGCAATGCAATGTAGTCAAGCACTGAACCACACCCCAAATTCCAAAATCACATATTATTATACATCCTATCGCGACGCCCCATTCCCTCCCCCATGGCCCGATTGGCTTAGGCTTTGGAGGTTACAATCTATCAGGAACGCCTAAACAGAATACATTATCTCCGCCCCTGTTTGCTTACATTATACTAATAAGATCCCTCCCCTACTATTCTGTTTACTCAGACCATATATGTACATGCTTATCAATTCTAGAGGAGAGATGTCTCCCATCTTCTACACTGTTAGATCAAGTAGGGGTACCAGGCACCAGAAGGTACTTAAAAACAATTCCTAGATGGAGACTCACACTGGGCCACATGGTAACTCCTGTTCTCCCCCCTGCCTCCACCTGAGGCTTGTATTTTTCCCATATACTTGAAGCATCTACTCAGGCAATTGATTATAAAATGATAATTATAAACTATAAAATATGATTATATGATAATAGTAAAAGCATATATATATTTATTTTTAAACTTTCTCCACATCATTGATGTATTTAGGAGGGAGGTCTTTCTATTGAAAGTTGCACAGTTGCAGAAGTGTTGAATTGATTGTTTGCTGCACTCCAGCTTTATGCTAGTAACATTTGGTTATTCTTTTACTCTCTAATATGACACAATAGAAGACTTACCATGCTGTGTATTACTACACAGCAGCAGATGCTGATGAAGTCTCTTTCAAAGATGGTGATGCAATTGTCAACATCCAAGCCGTAGATGAAGGATGGATGGATGGAACTGTGCAAAGAACAGGCAAAACAAGCATGCTTCCAGCCAACTACGTAGAAGCGGTTTAAATGGAGGAGACCACATGGACAATAGGAAGGCCCTTTATGCCACATCAGTTCAGTACAGCTCATAACAGTTGCCAAAGATCCTTATTATTTTATTTCTCTTGATACATGTGAAGAATTGTCTGGCATCTAGAACTTTCAGGAAACATTATCCATCCTAGTTTGACTAGGTATCTAAACGAGAGTTTTGGATACCTGAAATTCAGTATGCCATCCCTCCGGCTGAATTTGTATGATTCAGTCTATTTTCATGAAACAATGAATTGTATTGGTTTATGTGGTTTTTCTTCTCAAGAGATGCAGTGATCTCACATGATAGTCTAAACCCAGCTGAATGTATCCATGTCTGTTTCTATATATAACATCTTAAACAAGTCAAAGTGCAAAGCCTTTCTTCTGCTCTACTTAGAGAACGCTGATGCATGCATTTTAATCTGAGTGTTCTTGGGTTGCAGTGCTGTAATTCCCTCTCAAGTGAGTGACTAATAAATGTCATCTTTCCACAAATGTATTATGTGCTTTATTTCTTCGTGTTATGTACTTATTTGCTTCTCGGAGTCCTTGCTGGTGTCACTTCAAGAGTACAATAAAATTATCTCCAGTAGTGATAAAACATCCATGGCAATAATATTAATACTAAAAAAAGTTCAGAAAGAAAATTTATTCTAAAACTATTTGATGCTAACATGCAGTCTGTGAACTTGAGAGTGTCTACCCATCAATCTCCAGAAGCTCGCCAAAGCGGCCTCATCTTTAACATCTTCTGAAAATCCATTATCATAGGGAGCAAATCTAATACCCGAGAGGGTATCCCATAGCACATGAGCCATTACGGAAACATCAGGACTGCCTCCTAGCCTCAGCTTCCCTTATTTCACAAAAGAAGGGAAACCCACATGTACATATCAAGCAGGAAATTTCTGACTGGAGATTGTCCAATAAATCATATATGGCTTCGTCCAAATCATATATGGCTTCCTAGGGCTTGAAATTGCAACCAAAAGCTGTGAGTAACAGGTGCAGGGCCTGCCATGCCAGTATAGTCTACTTCTGACAGCCAACGTCTGGAGGCCACTACAGTTTGCACCTATTGTGGCTTTCAAGAGGATGTTAAAGGCAGGTCCATGTACCATGTGATACTTCGCTCTTGTGAGATCTTCCACTGCAGGTACAGCCACGGCTAATGCATCACCTGAAGCTGAGTAAAGGCCTTACTGGCCATGCCTTCCACCTGCCCCTCTAGCAGTAGCTGTGAGACTAGGAAGACCCACATGTGATGGATTAGCACATTAGCAGTGCTTCCCCCTGAGAAGATAATGCTGGAGAGAGATACTCAGCAGGTAAAGTGCATCTCTATCTTGCTTGGGTTAAAGCTGTTTCACTCCAACAGCCACTCAGACCCCAACAGCCTCCAGATACCAGGACAAGACTTTGTTTAGCTCAGGAGGACAAATTGCAGTTGGGTATCGCCAGGACAATAATCACACTGCACTTTGAACCAGTGGGTACAACTCTTCTAACAGTTTCATATCAGGAGACTGGTAATATGTTTCCCCATTTACACAATTTTATTAAAAGCTGTAAGTTTTAGAATCTGCATCTCACTTCATCAGATACAAAACTAAGCTGATCCTGGATTAAAACTGGGTTGGGGACAGGATGATGTAGAGAGGTTGATTACACAGATGTAACACAGGAGACTATTAGACCTTCAATGTGTTAAAACTCCATATTTTTAACCTTTTAACATATGTTGAGTTTGGCAATCTCTTGGTTAATCAATGGTCATTTTGAAACCTACAATGGGGAATCCTGGGAGGTTGAACTCTTGATATTTAATTGCACAATTGAACAAGAGATTGCTGAGCCCACATATGTTAAGATTTCAGGCTATCCCAAAGGTCTCAACAAACATAGAAACTGTCAGTGTGTATTTATGAATTGGAATAGCCATAGCAACAATCCAGCCAATGAGAACTGTTTTTGATTAGGACACAATATTGGCTATGTGACGTATGTGATCCAGCCTAGGTCTGGGTGTGTTTTAGTCTTCTCTGTGTTGTTTCTTCTTCTTTTTTTAATTTTTAATTTTTTATTTTTCCAACTCTCCCCATATATATACCGTGATATTTATCAGATGTTAACATACATTTTTTTACATTCATATATAAGATACTTTTAATAAAATGAAATAAATACATACACATGGCTTTTGATGTTACTCACCCATTTCCCCTTTCACTGTATCCACACTCCTTCTTTTCTACCTTCTTTCTCCCTTTCTTCTCTTCCCTACTTCCCTCTTTTTCCTCTCCTCTTCTCTTTCCTTCACCACTCTACTCCCCTTTCTCCTCACTTCTCCTCTTCTCCTCCAACCTTCCTACTTCCTTCTCCCCTCCTTTACTCTTTTCTCTCTCCTCTCCTTTCTTCCCTCTCATCCCTCTTCAGATACAATTCAGGGGTAATGTCCGAGCAACTCCTCTCTCCAAATTTCCCTATCTGTATTATATACAATAAGATTAATTTCCTCTTACATTAATAGTTCTATTTATCTAACCTTCTCAGTATATACTTCTATAAATACTTATACAACCTCCAGTTATTCAATACTGTGTCGCCTGGGTCTCCCTCCTTATCTGCTCCTTCTTCTTCCATCTAAATTGATGTTAACTGTCTTTTAACCGTATTCTCTTTTCAGCCAATCATAAAAAGTTCCCCAGATTTCATAGTAGTCTGACTCTGTCTTATTTTTAATTGTCATTGTTAGTCTGTTCACTTCTGTACATTCCAGTATTTTCCCAATCACCTCTTCCTCTGGGGGGGGCTTTCAGTGCTTTCCAATTTTGTGCAAACACAATCCTGGCTGCCGCAATTATATGAATAATTAAGTATGTTTTCTCTTTATTGTATTTCCCTGGTAGGATACCCAACAGGAATATTTCTGGTCTTAGTTCTATATGTTGTTGTATCATCTTTTCTATCCATGTTCTAATTATATTCCAATAAGTTTTAGCTTCTACACACATCCACCACATATGGTAGAAGGAACCTGGTATCTGATGACATTTCCAACATTTCATAGACCTGTCCTTAAACATTTTAGCTAATTTTTCTGGAGACATGTGCCATCTGTAAAACATTTTGTACATATTTTCTTTATACATAGTCGCCATTGTCAATTTACAGTTTCTTTCCCATAGTTGCTGCCATCTATCTAATTCAATTGTGTATCCAAAATTCCTTGCCCATTTTATCATTGTCTCTTTCACTTGTTCCTTCTCTAACTCCATATGTAGTAGATAACTGTACATTTTTAATCCATTTTTCTTCTGTTCCTGTGAGTATTTCATCTAACTCTGTTGTCCCCAAATTAACACCATCTATTTTAACATCTTTTTCATATCTAGATTGTATTTGCGTTCTCATGTACCAATCCATCTTTATTCCTTGTTCTTCTAATTGTTGTTTGGTTTTCAACTCCCCCATATCTGTTAGTAAGTCTTTATATCTTATAATGTTTCCTATGTTAAACATATTGGGGTGTACTAGCGCCTCCATAGTTGAGAGCCAATTTGGAATCTTCAAATAATGCTTTCTCTTTACTTTCTCCCTGACCACAAATAAAGAATTCCTTATATGATGTCTCTGAAAATAGCTATGTATTCTGTTTTTTCCATACCATATGAAAGCATGCCATCCCAACTGTAAATCATGTCCCTCTAATGTCAATAATCTTGTATTCCTCAGTAAGATCCATTCTCTCATCCATGATAATGCTGCAGCCTGATAGTATAATTCCCAATTAGGTAGACCAAACCCACCTCTCAATCTTGTATCTTGTAACATTTTTAGATTAATCCTTGCCTTTTTTCCCTGCCAAATATATTTCAAGATTATTTTATTAAGCCCCTCAAAATATTTCTTATCTAATTTTATAGGTATTGTTGAAAACAAAAACAATAATCGTGGTAATATATTCATTTTGATTATCGAAATCCTTCCCATTAATGATAGTTGTACATTTTTCCATTTATCCAAATCTACTTCAATTTGTCTTTTCAATTTATGATAATTATCCTCTTTAATTGTTGTGCATCTTGCTGTCAGGTGGATCCCTAAATATTTTACCTTCTTTACAATCTGTATATCTAATTTCCCCACCAGTTTTTTTTTGTTTTTCAGTAATATTTTTCACTAACATTTTGGTTTTATCTTTATTAATTTTCAACCCAGCTACCTCACCATATTTTTCTATTTGTTCTATTAATACAGATCCTGTCTCTAATGGTTCCTCCAAAATAAATACTAAATCACCTGCAAATGCTTGTAGCTTATATTCTTCCCTCTTAATTTTCATCCCTTTTTTGTCATTATTCTGTCTTATACGTCTATTTAATACTTCTAATGTCAGAACAAACAACAGTGGAGATAGGGGACAGCCCTGTCTTGTTCCCTTCATAACGTTGATCTTCTCAGTCATATCTCCATTTATCATTACTTTGGCTGATTGCTTATTATAAATTGTTCTGATTACATTTATAAATTTCTCCCCACAATCCGTAGTCTGTAATTGGCTTATCATGAATTGCCAGTTCACATTGTCGAATGCCTTCTGTGCGTCCAGGAACACCAATGCCATATGTTTCTCGGGGTGTGTTTCATAATATTCTAGTGTGTTCAATATAATTCGCATATTGTCTCTAATCTGTCTTTTGGGTAAGAAGCCATTTTGATCCGATTGTATAAATTCATTTAAAAACTTTTTAAGTCTTTCCGCCATTATTGATGCAAATATTTTGTAGTCCACATTCAGTAGGGAAATCGGCCTGTAGTTCTTTATTTTCTGTGTTTCCGTTTCTTTCTTTGGTATGAGAGTAATAAGAGCTTCGGACCATGAAACTGGTATCTTAGCTTCAGAAAGAAGTTCATTATAAAGTTCCATTACATTACCTAGTACTTCCTGGAATGTCTTATATAGCTCTGCTGGTAATCCATCCGGTCCTGGTGTTTTACCATTTTTTTGTCTGTTGATTGCTTCTATTAATTCCATCATTGTTATTTCCCCTTCTAATAGCTTTTTAAATTTCTCCGGCATTTTAGGTATCTCTGTTTCTATCAAAAAATGTTTTATCATGTCATCTGAAAATCTTTGTTGCTTGAATAAGTTCTCATAATATTCCCAGATTATTTTTTTCTTTTCTTCATTTCGATGTTGTAAAAGCCCCTCAGCATCTTCCAATTGTTTAATCCATCTCTTCTCTTTCTCCTTTTTAATTTTATATGTCAATCATCTCCCTGGTTTGTTTGCATACTCAAAAAAGGTTTGCTTAGCTCTTTTATTTTCATTGCCACTTCATTTTCTAGTAAGTTCATTTTTTGTTTGTTCAGTTCCATTAAATTTTTAATCTTTTTGTTTCGTGTATCTTTCTGTAATTCTTTCTCAAGTGTCTTATATTCTTCCTCCAATTTCCCCTTATTTTGTCTTTTCTGTTTGTTCTTTTTCCCCAAATAAGTCATAGCAAGTCCTCTCATGTATGCTTTTGCCGTATCCCAAACATTTTGAAGTGAAGTATCTTCTTCTTTGTTTTCCTTAAAGAAAAATACTTTTTTCATATATTGCTGAAAATCCTTTTCATTCAATATAGTTTGGTTTAATGTCCATCTTGTTCTCTTTTTTTGTCCTTTCCATGTAATTGTAACTGGGTTGTGATCTGCCCATGTGCTTGTTTCAATGGCTATATTTTGTATATTTGTAAATAAATCTATTGACATCCATGTCATATCAATTCTCGACCAGGACAGGTGTGTTAGAATAGAACATATATTGCTTCTTTTCCTGATATTTCTCTCTCCAAGCATCAAGTATATTTAATTCATCCACCATATTATAGAAGGATTTAGGAAGTGTTCTTCTTAGAGTCTTATTTTTTTATTGTATTATAATCCAACTGTGTTTCTTCTGATCTCCAAGTTGAGTTGTTGTTCCCCAGAGCTGAATGAAACTGTATATATCATGTTTATATATGTTTTATAGATAAAGTTTTTCTAAACCATGCCTCCTGCTCATTTTGAATGTGTGCTTATTTTGGGGGCTTATTTTTGTGCTGGAAAACTGTAAAACTCTAATAGAAACTGAGTATATGTTGGAATCTGGCAGAATTTTCATACTTTTCACATTGACATTTTAAACAATGGGGGCTTTCTCCCTTAATCTACTTCGGTGGCAATTCTTGTGTTGATTCTTTGGAATAGATGAAGGACAACACCGTTGAATAATGTTTGCAGAACTGGCTTATAAATTCTTATATGGCCTATGCCTGCCTAAATACTGAAAGCATAATCCTACCTTAATAATAGTCTTTTATTCTCTTTAGGTTCTCTCCTATCCTATTACCAATGTATGCTGAAAAACTAAAACTGGAATTAAATCAACCATATAATCACAGAAGGTACAATGACTAGATTAATTTGGTTGTGAAGTCCCTTTCTATTAACCTTTACAAAGGCCCAAATCTATTGATTCACCCTTGTCCCTTTTCCCGGCAATGGACAAATCAGCACTTTTGACACGTCAGTTATTAATACGCAGTTTAAATGCCTTTTTAAAAATCCTTTCTTTCAGAAAACTAATTTTAACCTGAACAGAACACAGTTCTTCTCCAAAATAACAACCATTTTATTCAATCAATTATATATTTTATTTATATATATTTATTTCCTAAAACATAAATTTATCCCACTGTGGTGTCAACATTAAAAAGCACAAATATGCTCTATACAAAGTTTCTCCCATTCAAGCACGTTAGAGCTTGCCTTTCATACAGATATAATTTAGAGCGTTTGCATTTAGTACAGCTATACATAATATACAAAATTATTCTTATGTCCAGTTTATATAGGATTCATGAATGGGGCAAATAAATCCTTTGTGGTATATAAAAATTCAAAAAGCATGTGGTCAGATCCTGAGAATTATTTATTGGAATTATGCACTGACACTTTTTTCTTCTGCATACTACATTTATGAAAAAATAGACTATGTCCTATGAAAAACTTTGAGATATTTTAGTATGCTAATGAAGCACCATACTTCTTAATATGGTAATGAGCTATAAAACTAGTACCTTCCAAACTACTATCAGTTGGAAGATTGATTTTGAAGATTTTGGTAAATGAATTAACACTTCAAACATTAGTCAGAACAACAAAACCAGGGCTTCAAACACTGATAATGTCCCCAAACCCTTTCATTTAAAACACTTAACATTTAAAAAATATACCGCTCCATATTTGTGCATGTTTCCCAGTCATTACTGCACATCTTTACACATTTTGGAAGTTGTGCATAGCAGCAATTAAAAATTAAAAACTTAAAATGCAAGTCCATAGAATTTAGAATGTAATATTTAATATTTAAACGCCAATGCTGTATTTGCTTCAAGTTATAGGAAACTATTAATCTTAAATTTAAAACTTGTGAAACTAAATATTAATCTCAAATTTAAAATATGGATTTTAAAAATAAAACTGCCCAATCAAAAGTATTTTTCAAAAACTTAAATAACTGTTTAAAAATTGGTGTTATATGACTATAATAATTCATAACGAGATTTAACGCTATTAATCATGCAGTCTGATATGCTGGAAATCTTCTGTTGCATTTCAATCACTTCATTTCCTGAATAGTGCAGAAGTCTTTCGGGAGAGGTTTGGTCAAGCAGAAGATTAATGAGGGTCCAAATGTCTACTGTGGTTGACTCTTCCGTGCTGGAGACCTCCGTTTCACATCCATCTAAGATGAAAAGAAAACCGGTTTGCAAAGACATTCTAGGTGAGACCAAACTAAAGCCCATTCAGACAGAGATAGTCTGTAACTCTTGCTCGTGTAGGTAACTGTATAACTATAGACAGTCCACCCACTAACTGGAGAGATTTAGCCAGCAGGATAAAGAGATGAAAACTTAGTCTGAAATACTAGTATTTGGGAGAGATTAGCCTCTTTTTATGATTTACCTCCTAAAAGCTGGCTAGTGCTCTTGGAATGTACATACATACACACACACACAAATTATGCATGCGCGTCCACACACACACACACACACACACACACACACAATTAGCAAAGGCCCCGCGGGCCAATCACAATGTTTTATTAATATTATTTACAGATAAAATGTTATTGTACTTGGGAATAGTCAAAGGTCATGGATCAAGTGAACAGGTTTAGAAGAAAACAGCAACCAATTTGGTATAACTTTGTGCATTTGCTACTTTTCTGATATTTTGGGCCTTTATTTTTGTTGTTTCAGAATGCAGCAGCATAGAAATACCATCAATAAATGCATACTTCAGCATATACAACAATCATATGACCATATACATTAATTATCCAGAAGAAACAGAGCAATCAAGGATACTGCCAAAAGATACGTGGGCATTCAGTTTCACCTGGGATTCAAATCGCATAGACGCATGCTTTCTTAGACTTTATATTAAACTCAAGAAAACAGGTAGCATAGGTTTAAATGATATTTACCTGCCATAACTGCATTTTCATTTGCAGATATTAATGTCTCATCCATTTGCTCCATTCCACGAGCTTTTACCTGCACATATTAAAGGGGGGGGGGGAGAGAGAGAATAATACAGTTCAATCTGTAGATGAAAAAGATAAAACTGTAAGTGTGGTTCTTTGCCACTGTAAAATCATACAAGTATTTTCTGCACAAATGCAGAAAACAGAAAGCCGAAGGTTCTGCTCAGAATAGTCCAATGCTTAAAAGCTGTGTTTGGAACCTGCCTTCTGGCATACCCAGTGCTTTTTTTCTAAAAAAAAAGAAAAAATAAAGGGTGCCGTAACTCACACATGTCATACAACCCGCTTTGCCTACCCTACAAGGTTCCAACCAAAAAAGGTGCCGGAACTCCATTCTGGGCGTTCTATGAGAAAAAAAGCCCTGGGCATACCATACGTTTTCCTAAGCACGGCCTCCAACAGTATCCTTAGTTTCTGAAATCAAAGTGATAGTGTACTGGTGTGTCGTGGTTAAAGTGCAATATTACAAGCCAACTCTGTCCACAGCCTGGAGTTCAGTCCTGATGCGACTGAAGATTGACTCAGCCTTTCATCCTTCCCAGGTTGGTAAAATGAGGACCTAGATTGTTGGGGGCCATATGCAAATTATGCTTCAACATTGTAAACCGCCCAGAGAGTGCTTTAAAGCAGGGCTTTTCAACCTTTTCACAGAATGTACCACTTTTAGGACATGACAATATTTGAGTACCACCAGTGCTTAGCAAGGTGTCAAAAAAGAGGGGGGAATTTTGGATTTTACTGGTTAGATTCATTTGTTGTTGTAGAAATGGCTAGTTTGTAATATTATGGAAAAGTACAAAGTTGAGGTTCAATGTTAATGCTTCCTTCTACTGCAGCGGTTCTCAACCTATGGGTCGCCAAACAACGCGATCCGCCATTTTCCCCCCTCGGGGCGCCGCCGCGCATGTGCGCCGCGTCCGTGTGACGGGGATCGCCGTCACACAAATGTTGAGAAACGCTGTTCTACTGCAACAGAGGAAGTCAGAAGTCAATGTCTTTTCTTTTTCCCTTCTCCCCCACACATTTTTCCCTTTTTCCTTCCCACTTTGCCCTTCTATTTGCTTTTGTGTTTTATTCTATAATCTAATAAAATGTTACCAAGTGTAAAAAAAAAAGGAAAAAAGTATCGTTTTTAATTTCTTTGGTGGCGGTTTCTTTGCAGAATCACTTTCCCTTAACACTGACAAATGTATGATCAATTTCTCAATATTTATTAATATGCCTTGATGGTCAAGTGGCTGGTCAGCCCTATTTCCTCTGGTCAGCCCTATTTCACCCTTTGCTTGCAAAAGCCTTCATCTCTCTCACACATACTTCCCCCCAAAATCATTTCCTCACACGCACCTCCCCAGAAGCCTTTCCTCTCTGCCTGTCACACACACACTTCCCCAAAAGCCTTTCCTGTCTCTCTCTTCTCTGACAAAAGCCTTTTCTCTTCTGATTCTTTCTCCAGAGTCTTTTTCTCTCCCTCTCCCACCAAAACTTCCTCCTTTTATAGCCTCTCCTGTCTCGGCCCCCCTCCTCCTTTCTCTTCCATTTGTGCTGGAAATGCCGTTCCTGGGGCCTTTCTCTAGCCCCAGCAGCCCTGCAGCTCCTGAGGACTCTCTCAGGGCAAGTCCTGTGCTGGGCCACTTTAGCTCCTTCCCCCTCTATGCTTGTCTAGGCTAGGCAGGGTCAGGTACCACCTGCCAGGTGCCAATGTACATGTCCCACCGATTGAAAAGCCCTGCTGTAAAGGACTTTAGGCTTATAAGCCTAAATACTACCACTAGTAACAGAATCAAGTCAAAAGGTGTGCCCTGAGGGACTTCCGGTGGATCAGCGTCGGTGATGGCGGCTACTTTGTAGCCGTCCTCCTAGGAAAGCGTTAGAACCGCAGAGAACAGCAGGCACCAGCTGTTCTGCGGCTCAAAACCTCCCTCCCGGGCAAAGGGGGGGAGGGGAGTATCACCCGAATAGAGGTAGAGCCTCTGAGACCCTCCAGGAAGCTTTCTTTGGGTGTTGAAAAGAGTGCTCCCTCGGAGTTCGGGTTGCCTCCGCCTCCCAGCTGTCTTTGTCCCTCGGGACAAAGCAAGACGCCGCTCCCACCTCCGCGCTTAAAGAGACCGGGTGAGTTATTTTTAAAAGCGGACAGAGCTGGATAAAGGATTTTTTATTGGAGTTTATTTGGACTTTACTTTGAAAGGTTGATTTTTATTTCCCTTCCTTTTCCCCCCCCCCTTTTTTTTCCTTTTGTGAGAGTGAAAGTAAAATGGTGATCGGAAAGGTTTTTTTTTTTTTTAAAAAAAAAAGTGAATGAAACGGAATGTAATGGATTAGACTGTTCTTTTTTTTTTTTAAATTTTTCCTTAAAGTGGATTTGTGGTTTGGGAAGATTCTTTTTTGTTAAACTTTCTTTTGTTATCTTTTTCTTTTTTTTTAAGGGATTTTTTCTTTTGTATTTTTTCTTTTTTTTTTAAGAAGGAGGAAAGAAGAAACGAAACTTTTTTTTTTTGAAAATGGCTTCAAAGCGGCAAGCAACATCTACAGTACCTAAGGTGGCTTCTTCTCCGGCGATGTTACCAGTACAACAACCTAAAGCTACACCACCACCCTCTCCCCCTTTGCCAGCAGTAACGGTAAAAGATATGCAAGACATAATGGGAAATGCTGTATCTCAAATTAGAGGGGAAGTGAAAGAGCTTTTAGTGGAGAATAATATTATTTTGAGGCAAGATATAGTTATGGCTTTAACAGGACTTGCTTCTGTGGTTGAGAAGCTGGATTCTAGAGGGGAAGAAGTGGCAGACAAGGTGGAGATCTTGGAAGATAAATTTGAAGGCATGGAAAAAAAGATGGAAATTTCACAAGATGATATTGTAATGTCTCAATATAGAGAGATGGAGTATGCTTTAAGAATCAGGGGGTTGAGGGAAGACATGCAACAAGACTTGAGAAAGATTGTAGTAAATGACTTTGCTGCCATTCTGGATAGAGAGAAGGAGGAAATATTTAGATAAATTGAAAAAATATTTAGAGTTAATTCTTGGGTTGCAAAGCAAAGAAATCTGCCAAGAGATGTGGTAATCTATTTTGGGAAGAGATCTCTGCGTAATGAAATCATACAAGCTTTTTATAATAAGAGGTTTCAGATTGCTGCTCAAGATGTCATCATTTTAAAGGAGATTCCATCTAAAATTTTAAGAAGAAGAAAAGAGTTTGCTTTCTTAGCCAATGAACTTAAAAAAAGATTGATGCCATTTAGATGGGAGATTCCGACGGGCATCGTGGTGAATCATGCGGGGATGCGCTATAGACTTAACACTGTTTCTAAAGCATTTTGGAGAAAACATATTACAAGCTCTTCGTGTTATTTATCAAAAGCAAACAGCACAACTTATAGTTAATGGGGGTTTGTCAGAGGTGTTTTCAATTCAGAAGGGGACTAGACAGGGTTGCCCATTGTCACCATTGCTGTTTGTTTTAACTTTGGAAATTTTGTTGATTAAAATTCGAGACTCACAGCAGATAAAAGGAATAGAAGTTAATAAAAAAGAATATAAATTAAGGGCTTTTGCAGATGACTTGGTTGTTACTTTATCTCAACCAACTGATTCTGTAATAGAGTTATTACAATTGATATATCAGTATGGACAGGTTTCGGGTTTCAAAATTAATAATAATAAAACTAAGATATTGCCTAAAAACATGACCAATTTGGATAAGGAGACTTTGGTTAGGTTGACAGATTTTGAGGTTGTTAATAAGGTAAAATATCTGGGGGTTATTTTATCTGCCTCTAATGTAAAATTGTATAAAAATAATTATGAAAGGCTGTGGGTCAAAATACAAAGAGATTTGGAAAATTGGGAGAAGCTGCAATTATCCCTATTGGGGAGAATTGCAGCGATTAAAATGAATGTTCTGCCAAAGTTTCTTTTTTTATTTCAAATGATACTCATTTTAAAGAATGAGGTTAATTTAAATGAATGGCAGAAAGGTATCAACAAATTTATTTGGGCAGGGAAAAAACCAAGAGTAAAACTTAAAATTATACAAGATATTCGTGAGAGAGGTGGACTCAAGGTACCGAATTTGAAATTGTATTATGATGCTGCTGTTTTAACATTAATTAGTGATTGGATTAATTTAACAAATGTAGAAATACTCCTCTTGGAGGGCTGGGATTTACTTTTTGGATGGCATGCCTATTTAATTTTTAATAAAAAGGTTGATAGGATTTTTAAATCTCATATTATAAGGACTTCTTTACTTCGGGTTTGGAAGAAATATTATAGAAGTGATTTTAAAATTCCATTATGGGCTATACCATGGCACACGATAGAAGGGATAAGGAGAGGAGTAAAGATGGATAGTGTTTCTTATGCACAACTACTTAGATGGGATGGTAAAAACTGGCAATTAAAATCTTTGGAAGATTTAACACAAGAAAATATTACTTACTCAAGGTTTCAGTATAGACAAATAGTGGAGAGGTGGAAGATAGATCGTAACGTAGGATTGCTTAGAGAAGAGGAGAATTTGTTAAAACAAATAAAAGATCAAAGACAAACTCATATTAAGAGAATTTATGGGGTGTTAGTAGAATTGGATTCAGAAGCAGAATTAGTTAAAGAATGTATGGTTAAATGGGCACAAAATTTTGATGAACCGGTTCTATTAGATACTTGGGAGATTATTTGGGTGACGAATGTTAAATTTACACAAGCCCAAAATTTAAGGGAAAATTTTTATAAAATGTTTTATAGATGGCACCTTGATCCACAAAAATTTGTCTCGTATGTATCCTGATTTGCAGCCTAAATGTTGGAGATGTGGATGTCTGGATGCTACTTATTATCATATCTGGTGGTCATGTAAAAATATAAAAGCTTTTTGGATTAAGATATGGTGGAATATCTAAAGAATTTTTAGAAGAAGGATAAAATTTACCCCACAATTGTTCTTGTTAGGTATTGTTTCTGATTGTGATAGTAAAGAGACTATATTGATGTTAAACTTAATCGCAGCCGCCAGGTTGTTAGTAGGGCAATGTTGGAAGAAGGAATCTTTGCCTACTTTGCAAGAGTGGTTTCTTAAAGTTTCTTATTTGGCGGAAATGGCAAAGATTTCGGCTTTCTTGAAAGATCAATCGCAGGAGAAGTACCTCCTGGTATGGAAAAAATGGATAGATTTTATACAATATAAGCTGGATATAAAAAATATTATTTAGTTTTTGAATAATTTATATTTAAAATTTAAGATATTTCATAGACATTTTTTTTTAATTTTTTAATTTTTCTTTTCTTATTGGATTTTTTTTCTGTTTCTTCCTTTCTTTCTTCTTGTATTTTTTTTATATATATTATTGTTAACTATTTTACAATTTGTTTAATGAATGTATTTAGATTTGTTTATGGTTTATATGTATCTTAAGATTTTTCTTAAAATTTTTTAATTAAGCCTGTATTCAGCTCTGGGAAGGTTGTGGGAGGGTAGGGGAGGGTTGGGAGGGTTTGGGGAAGGGAATTTTTTTCTTTTTGTAAAATTTAAAAATTTTCAATAAAAAAAAAGGTGTGCACTGAGTGGATTCAGGTATCACTTGAAGAGCTGAACTTAGAAAAAATACTAGTTTGTCTTCATCCCGATTTCCTTGTATGTATGGATGCTACTTGGATTTTCATCTGAATGCCTGTAAGAGCCCTCTAGAACTCTTACAAGTGAATAAGCCCGAGAGACAATCCAAAATACCTCAGGTAAAAGAATATGATTAAAATAAAATGGCTCAAAAATAAAAAAAAATCTTGAGGGTGACTGTGGAAAGGGAGAAAGGGAAATTAAACAGTATTAGGGGATAAAGAACATGGGCGTTAAATTACTTGATCTTATGCCACAACCAGGTGAATGAAAGTCCCTTTTAGCTGCATAATAATGAACTGCTGAGGGGTATGGCAATCATTCCAAACTTAAGTCTTTCAGTTGCGATTCAATACAATTTGGGGATGGGGAAATGTCAGAAAAAGCAGAAACAAAGATGTCCTCCTTACTTCTTTCCCACCATCCACATACTGCAAGTTCCAGATTATTTAAATAATTTGTTTATTTCTCCCACTGCTCTTTTTGTGGAGAACCAACTTTTATTTAAGGCGACACTTCCACTTTTGCTTATTTTAATTGAAAAGGGCAAATAAGCTTACCTGTTGGTCATGATAGCCTTTAAGAACCTTTCTAACATTTAAAACTCTCGGAGAGCGAATAGGAAGAGTTTTGATCTGAGCTCTGGTGAGAGAACTCAAGTCGCCCACTGTCCTGATATTCTTTGCTCGAATCAGATGTCCTAATCCTCTTGTCCTAAAGAGAAGGGAAAGAAGGAGTTTTAATGTGCCGTGGAAAATATAACCTTACCATCTAAAAGGTGTGTATTAACTTCAATACAGGCTCTAACCCAGTGCAGATTATAAGTTTATGTACCTATTAAGGTAGCATGTTTTCCCCCAATCACCTTATATATGAAACATTTGCAAAAATAGGCGACACTTTAAATTACTATCCCAAAAGAAGTAATTGAAGCGTACAAGGTCGTAATATTTCTGTTCAAACTATGTGTCAAAAAAGGGCATTTTATCTCCTATTCAAATTTCAAAGAAAATCCTCTGGGTTAAAATAATTTTGTATCGATCAGAATAAATTTAAGATGAGGAAATATTCACATTGTACGGAGGAATCTGCTTATGGCACTCATGTGGCACAATTTGACCTTTTTGCTGATACATACAAAACTGGAATGCACTTTTTGTATATATTTTCTGTCGGTCCAAAATATATATTCTTCAGCTGTATTTTCAACGTAACAATACATCTTTATAGAAAAATGAGTGAGTTCAATACAATGAGATTCAATATACTGAAAAAAAAAGTGTAACTATATTCCCATGAACATTTTCACACATATAACAATTGCCCCAGAATGTATCAGGAATGCAGTGTATCCTTAAAATGTTGATTCCTGTCATCTGCTGCTTGCTAGTGATTAACTTCAAATGAACACATTATTCTACCTGTTAGGAGCACGGCCTAAACATAGAAACACTCAAGCCGATATCTGGCACATAAACTTTTTTCCGGACAACCTCATTCAATGTCCTGCTTACCAAGAGTTTGGAGTAATTTGAGGCAGAAGTATGTCGACCGATGCTTTACAGCCCACCAGGGCAGGATATACACTTTCTTTAGGTGCCGTTGTTGGCTCCGTGACCATTTCTGTCATCTTAAGCAATAGAGAAAATCATGAATGTGGGTAAGTTTAAGAACTGAGCATGGGAGAAATTGAGATGATATAGAAAAAGGATGCAAATCTTACTAAACACTTCTTTGAGCTCTTATATTTATGGCTACGGGTTCCAGGCGACAGAGATCCTTTGGTTGGAGTGGTTATGAGCTGGATAGAAAAAGAGGAAAAAATTTGCTCAAAATCATAGGAATCATCTATAACTCTGTGGTTTATTTTTTTGCAAACAAAACGATAAACCTGGGGTCCTTTATTTAAGAAAAAGGCCAATTCAACGGGACTGTACTTCCAGAGGCAGTTAATACTTCTTCAACAAACTAGCTCAGTTAGGAAAAAAGAACACTCACAATGAAAATTCCTTACTGTTGAAATGACTTAAGGCTCTACAGAATGGGTAATCCATGTAATAGCGATAGAAGAATCAATTCATGCTATGTCTTTTCACACCAACGGTGTGCAATTATAATTTAATTTTAGAATCAACATACCCTACATGAAAAAAGTCCTTTCTGTACATACATAGGTATGTTTGCTTCGCAACTACACATTTTCTTGTGTTATATTGTACAGTGTTTGGGAGATCCCAAAGGCTTGCATAAAGTAGCTGGCCAAACTGGATCTGCAGTAGAAAAACCCTGGTGTATAAGTGGTGGTGGTGGAAACTTTTGTTAACGCAGAAGATACTCAGAATCCAAGATAAGGCTTTTTTACAGATGAATTCATTACGAAGTCCCTGCATCACTGGTGTTATTTTCTAAGAAAAAACTAAGAATAAACTGGGTACTACCTTGGCTTGGTGACTAGGTGAAGATTTAACATTTCGCAAAGATTGAGAGTCATTATTGTAAGGATGAATTCTAAGTACAGGACTTCGTCGGTCAATGTCATCTGCCAATTCTTCTTTGTAGATTGGATTGGCAAAGGAGACTCTTCGGTTCTGTTCACACATATTTGACAAATTACTATTTAAATAAGTTTGAAATATCATACAAATGCAAAAGCTACAATGTCAAGGCTTGGAAGTTCCTATTGCCTACATGTTGGTTTTAAAATACTGATGCTTCAAAACTTCCAAAGGAAATCTGTAGACATTTTGTTTATACGTCAATGCTTCCATAAAAACAAACAATTAGATTAGTATTATCTCTAAAGAAAGATAGAAATCTATCAGAGGAACCTTAAACGTCCTAGTGTGCATCTTTGGTAAAAGCAAATTTATCTAAGTTCCCACAAAGTGGACATGGTCTCCCAGGAAAGTCATCTCCCTACAATGGCAAATGAATTAATGTAACCCTGAACATTATTACAATGATAGTTTTAAACTGCAATACTAAATCTATTTCATTGACCAGGCAGAACCTATTGGCAACCTATAGGGAAATGTATTGCTAACAGTACTGGGCAACCTAAGTGATAGGAAGCACATAATTAAGAGAGGAATAATGAACTTCTTCCTTTTTTTATATTTCACTGAAATTCAGGTTAAACATTTGAGACCATGGATTTGCATTATATTTTGGACAGAAAGATACTCAGTGCTACCTTTTGTTAACTCACTGAGATTCTTTCACTTATTACAACACTTTGTAAGTAGTTTTAACAAGGACATACGCATTTAAGCTTCACTGAGTGGTAATCAGATAGAACTGACTGCCCTGTTTAGTACCATTCAGTTATGATGGTGCTGAAATAGTAGATTTACAACCAGACCTGGCATTTATTAACAGTTGCATCTTGTGATCACCCTTTCTAGACTTCCGACAAGCAAAAGTCAATAGAGAAACTGGCAGTAAAACTGCAAGCCGCTGTCATGTGATCTCTCACTTTATGACCAAAGGTGATTCACTTAACTGTGGAAGTGAGGCAGTAAACCCATCATGACTTATGGTGTCTCACTTAACGACTGCATTGCTTAGCAACAGAGTTGCTGATTCCAATTGTGGTCATTACGTGGTGACTACCTATAGCAAACAAGGGCTGTATCCATTAAAGGACTAAATTATTTGGGGCTGTGTCCAATGCATTGCATCGTTTGAGTGCCATTAGCACTTCATTTAGGCTCTGTATGAATTACTTCAAATGCTCAACCATCAGGCAGAAGAAATAATTTGAAAAATAAAAAATGTGTTAAGTAGGATATAAATGTTCAAGTGGCTATATACAATTACATTAATATAATGTAACCTATAAACCAACCAAGATATGAAGAGAATATTTCAGTGCTGATCAAAAGATCTCCCTTCATCCCACAGTCTTAAAGCTTTATTGCTTCAGGCATGCCACATAGACTTTAGTAGCTTAAGAGGGTAGCAAATCGTGGATTTAATATGGCAAAGAAGCTAAAAATATATTTAGGGTTTCAAGGAGCTTGTGTAATATGCAAATAATCACATGTAGAATGGCAGAAATTGCTTAAAAGTACCTTGTTTGGAGGTGGTGATGAATCGTGTTCCGTTTTTATTACTCTTTTTAGAATGCTAGTCGAAGGAGAAGCTGTTGGGGACCACAAAAAGCGAGTCTGTGTCCCAGGACTTCCACTGACCTTGGCTAAAGAGAGAATATCAATCTCTTTCAATTTTGGTGGAGAATCCAAGACTAAGGTTGGAAGTTCACTTGGTGCGTATGCTGCATTATCTTCTGCGCCTTCTTCTTCATTCGTCTCATTTTCCTGCAGCTCTGCTACCTCGATTGCAGATGTTACCCTAGTTTCTCCTACAGTATTCTGAGCGGCTCTTTCACGAGGCTGCGTTCCCACAATTTGGATAATTTTGAACTCTATATCTGTTTTGCTTTCCAACTGACCATTCTGGTCATTATTGCTTTCCATTATAACGTCTCCTTCTACATCTGGTTCTAAACCCTGATCCTGAGCATTGACGTCTTCTAAATGAAAATCCATTGAAACTGGTTCTAAAGCCTGATTCTGAGGACTGATGGCTTCTGAATGAGAATCCACTGAACCTGGTTCTGAGGACCGATCCTGAGCACTGAGGTCTTCTGAATAAGAATCCACTGAACCTGGTTCTGAAGACCGATCCTGAGCACTGAGGTCTTCTGAATGAGAATCCACTGAACCTGGTTCTGGAGACTGATCCTGAGCATTGAGCTCTTCTGGAAAAGAATCCACTGAACCTGGTTCTGAAGACTGATCCTGAGCATTGAGCTCTTCTGAATAAGAATCCACTGAACCTGGTTCTGAAGACCGATCCTGAGCACTGACGTCTTCTGAATAAGAATCCACTGAACCTGGTTCTGAAGAATGATCCTGAGCACTGAGCTCTTCTGAATGAGAATCCACTGAACTGGATTCTGAAATTGTTTCAGAGGAAGGAAGATGTATAATTTCTGCAATTGGCTGGTCACATTCACTTTGGACCCGTGCTAATTTCTCCAGTTCAGCATTGGGCGCATTGTCTCTTGGTCGGCCACTGACAGATTCAGCAACAGTGCTGGCCTCTTTCACATCAGCACCGTCCTCAACGAAAGGCAGCGGAGTGCTTGTGGCACAAGGCTCTGCGCTCAGCCTCTCTGCCAAAGGAATCTCTTCAGCATTAGGAATCAAGGTCAGCGCCATGGTTACTTTGCTAAGGACCTTCCTTGGTTCTTTTAACTTTGGTTCTGGAGTGCTTGCCTTTTTCGGCTTTTCCACTTGGGGAGACAGTTTTTCATCACAGCATTCGCAGCTCCTGGATTTCCTTGCCCGCTTGCTTCTTTTGTGCTGGCATTCAGAAATATCTAAAAATGTCTTGGGTGAAGTAAAGGCACTGACAGCGGTAGCAGAAGCATCGCCTTCTGAAACGCCACTTGGGTTGTTAGGTACCACAGAACGTGTGTCAAGAGTACTAGGTTCCTGCCTGTTTTCCAAAATAGGCTCCGAAGTGGATTCTCTCCTGTTAGCAGGCTTTCTTCTCCCTGTATCTGAAGAGGCTCTAGGATGTGAAGCGCCTGCATTTTCCTTAAGGTCCACACAGGGACTTAATGGGAGAGTACCTTTTTCTTCCTTTGTACCGATTTCCTTTGCATTAGTAGACATTGAAGGCATTTCTGTCTCTCTGCCAGGAGGTATTTTCTGTTTTCCTACTGACTGGGTTTGGATTTCTACTGCAGCTTGGGAACAAAACTCTTGGCTCTCTGGCTCTTCCTTTACTTGATTCCCAGAGGAATCATATTTTCTCAATTTCCCAAACCATTTCCTCTTCGCTCCTTCCTCTCTTGTTTCACTGCTATCAGATTCACACTTTTCCAAATTGGTAAGTAATCCTTGTGAAGCTGCTCTTCTTGTATGATAACGTGGACATAATTTTAGTTTCTCCACAGGCGCATCTTGGCCTGATTCTTCAAAGTCAGAGGCAGGACTACGTTCAGATTTCCCAAGACTCGTGTGCAACTCCTCCTGGCTGTTCTCTCTAGCGTCTATGTTTCCTGTAGCGCTGTTTACACCCACACTTCCTGACGCATCAGAGGCTTTTTCAAGTGTTTTAGCCTTTTCTTTTTGCCCAGGAGTCTCCCTATTTTGTGCCATCTTCCTTGGCAGAATTTTTTCATTGTCTTTTTGCTTCTCCACACTTACTGGTGCATCAGAGGCTTTTTCAAGTTTTTCAGCTTTTTCGTTTTGTGCCATCTTCTTTGGCAGAGTTTTTTCATCATCTTTTTGCTTCTCCTTTTGTTGATTGTCCTTTTTGTCTTGAGTATCTACAGCTCCATCTGTTTCTGCTTTTCGTCTTAAAGAACGTCTTAATGTTTTCTGGTTAAGTGAAATATTGAGACTTTGGTTAACTTCGGACACTGCCTCTTCATGAACATCGATCTCTGGAGAAATATTCTCTCTGTGCTCTAAATTTGGCCCTGCACTTTCTTTTTGAATCATGTCCTGGAGGGGTTTACTCTTCATTATTGTGCCGTCAGCCACCCTGACGCCAGGGACCTGAGCCTGATTATCTAGCAAATATTCTACTGCTTGCCTGTCCACAGATAATTCATGCTTTTCCTCGCAATGCGTGTCACAAATCTGAATTTTTTCCTCTTGACCCGACTGCATTTGCTCTGAAGATTTGTCTTCGGAAGTTTTATTTTGTCCAAGGCTTGGCTTCTTTATCTCAATTGTGTTGATAGACTCCAATTCTGGCTCAGTGGTGTTTTCCTCTTTACTTCTTTTTGCTTTGACACACATCTCTAGAGCATTTAAGATTTCTGAGCGTGATCTCTTTGTGCCAGAGACGGTTTTTCTCGCTCTGAGTTTTAAGCCACTTTTATTCTCCAGGTCTGGCTTTCCTTTCGGAGAGACATCTGAAAGAACAGTGCTTTCCTTCTGGATAAATGGACTTGTTAATGTTATAGAAATGTTATTAAAAACTGAAGGACCAAAAGGCCCGTTGTCAAAGTCATCAAACTTTTCCAGAGTTACAAAAGCCTGCCTTCTATTCACCGCTACCTGTGGTGTGGCTGAAATTATATCACTAGAAGTTGAGGAGTTGCTGCTGCCATTAGGGGGGTTTTCATTCAAAATAGAATCTGATGTTGGAGATTGTAGTGGAATACCGACATCCAACTCCTCATTTTTCTGATCCAGCTTCTCTTTCTTAAGGGTATTAGCTTGCTTGGTAACAGTAGAAGTACTATTGTCCTGAGATACATTTGATTTGTAATGTCCAGTTACCGCATGTGGAATAAAAAGCTGATGACTTCTTGCCTGTTTTTTCTGCAATTAAACAGTTTGCAACATTAAATATTATGAGTTTCCTGCTTGCATTGTTAATATACCACCCTCCTTACAAAATGATTGCATCAAGCATTCTAGTCACCCATCCATGTATCTGTTTAACAAGATTATGATACTTTAATTACTTGGGAAGACATTGGTTTCAGTAATTTTTTTTCTATCCCGTCTCTAAATGTGCTCAGTATTGCTTTAATGAAAATGATAAGAACACAATGGTATTAAATTGTTCTATTTAAAGATAAGCAGCTCTATTAAGAATGAAATTAATTTTTCTCCAATTGAACATCCAAAACCACAGGATTACCACAATGTATGCACGCCTAAATAATTCTACACGTATCTTACTATGTTATAAGCTCACTCAAATATAATGCTATAATGTTTCTTCCACAATATTTCAGAAAGCCTGCTTTATTGCTTAAGTTTTGTAAAAAGAAAAGAAGAAAAAATAACAGATTTATTTCTGGTAATATCCTTTCATACAAATCCTTTATCAAGAAAGCTCTAAAAATGCCATTACCCCAAACACAAATAACATTAAATGTAGAAATATACCTGGGCTGTTAATTTGTCCTCTTTCTCTTCATGTTCTTCCTTTGTGTCAACTACGATTGGTTTTTCCCTACAACAAAGATCAGTGGTTAAGATGCACTAAAAATACAAAACCCTTTTAGAATTATCTTCTGGTACTTATTACTTACAAAGAATCCTCCTGGTTCTGGATGTCCTGGGAAAACAGAACAGCATCTTGAGATGTATCCAAATTATTATACATGACAGGAATATCATCCCTGAAAAAAATGTACAGAAAGGAACACACACTAAACCAAACTTTTATTTCTGAAGAGTATGTTGGAGGAAATTGAATTCTTTCTTCATCAAAGCACCAGAGAGCAGGACAAGAAACAAGGGTTGGACACTGATCAAAGAGAGAAGCAACCTGGAATTAAGGAGAAACTTCCTGGCAGTGAGGACAATTAACCGTGGAACAGCTTGCCTCCAGAAATCTAGACAGTCACTTGTCTGAGATGGTATGGGTTCTCCTGCTTGAGCAGGGGACTGGACTAGAAGACCTCCAAGGTCCCTTCCAGTTCTATTCTATTCTATTCTGTTGTTCTGTTCTGTTCTATTCTATTCTATTCTCCATCCTTTTTAAAAATAATTCCAGCTGAGAATTCTAGAAAATTTCTAGATTCAAAACATCTAGAGGACACCATGTGGAAAAGGGTGTTTTATGGTGAACTCTTTTTTACACAAAAGTCTGGTTTAGAAAGCCCCTTGCTAGTTATGGAGTGGATATGCCGAGAAAACGTATGGGAAATTATACTCTTTAGTTCCTTCGAGGCCGTGAAAGCCTGTTCATTGCAAAACCTCCTAGTATTTCCTGGCCACAAAAAGAGTAAATTTTAAAGCCAGAAGCTGGCTGGCAAAATAGAACGGGTGTTACAACTCCTAAACATTAAAAGAGAGAGGGAGGGAGGGGGAGGGAGAGGGAGGGAGAGGGAAAGGGAGGGAGAGGGAGAGAGAGAGAGAAAGAGAGAAAATACAAGCAGAAACTGTTAATATGATGAATATAATGTTACAAACCTTTTAGTTCTCAGAACTTCTTTTTGGTGCTCTGTTAAGACTCTTTCTTTTGCTTCTAGAGGAATGAACACGAAGTCCATAGTATTTTCTTCTTCCAAAGGAATGTTTTTTGGTTTTGATTTTGACCCTGAGAATTCTAGCTTTATCTTGTACGAGGAAAAAATATCAAAAAGAGAAAAATAGTTTATAAATAGCATGGAGTCTGTATCTCGGGCATAACACAAGAAAAAAATGATGCCCATCCTATTTATAGATGAATAGGAGAACTTTCTGTTCATGGCTGGGAAGGAGAACACGTTTGTAAATTGCAAATTTAACCACCATTTTAAATGAAAGGCCCCATAGCTAGACTATCATGATGTGCCTGTGTCTCCGCATTGATACTTCCTGTAACTACTAGAGATACAACTGCCAAAACTGTAATTTGATCAGTAAACTTCTATGACTTACTTTTTTAGGTGCAATGTGAACATTAATATTTTCTTTCTCTGGCTCATTGATTTGGGAGAGGAATGAGTCCCTTTTTCCATTAGGATTTACAGTCATCCCACTGATGTTTGCATCCCACTGGGAATTCTCTGTCTGTTTTAAGATATTTAAGTGTAACTTAATAAAAATAAATTAAAATACCAATAACGCAGCTGAAGTAAAGTTATATAAGTTGCTATTTACTCAAAGAAAACTGTAATAAAATTCCAAAGTGGAATTAAAAAAAAAATCAGAACTTACATAATCAGAATATGCAGTACTACTTCCCTCCATTATCTCACAGCTCTCAAAAACAGGCAGTAAGAGTATGAATTTTTGTTTTGCTTTATATAAAACAGACCTGCAAGGAAACATAAGACAGCAGTGAAAATTTGGAAATTGTGGCGATATTTAAAAAATGTGTTTTTGTCAAAATGCTGATAGTTGAAGTTTAAAAAGCAGAATTATACTTTTTTCTTTAGTATTTATTCCACATCTTCAATTTCTGCTACCTAATATTCATATTAAAATAAAAAAACAGATACTAATACAAATAGAAAACCTGCCTGTTTTGCCTGAATGATAAAGTAATATAATAATGTATATATTGCTCATTATACATTTGTAATTTGGGAGATTTATCCAAGTAAACATGTTATTAAGAATAGGTTTACTACATTGAGTAAATCTATGTTGAGATACAGTATTACTGTAATTCCAGGCCAGATGATATTTCAATAAAATATGCTCAGAATTCACACAGAGGTTATTTTCACATATACTTTTCTCAAATAATTACTTCCTCATTCATGTCTATCTTAATTTAAAAAATTGAAGAGAAAAAGATTAAGCATTTATAGTTGTGATTTCATACAGAATTCCATTATCAAGTTTACGGTTACAGGAAGTTCTGAACACAAAACTACCAGGACAGAATGGCCTGAGCTCCAGATCTTTTTAAAAATTCCTAACCCTCCTAAGGCTGATTCTAGTTCTTAAGAAAAAATAAAAGTGAAACATTAATTCACAGCAAAAACCAACTCTCATAAAGTATAATGTCACAATACTGCATTGTTTAGCGATATCGACCCCAGCAGTCCTTGTTGCCAACATGAAGCGAGGATTGCAGGTTATTAAGCGAAGGGCTTATGTAACTGCAGCTTGTGACTTCCTGCAGACTCCCCAAAAAACAGTTGTCATAGAAGCCAGCAGGAAGTCACACGTTCCAAGCAAGCCAGCGGGCAGATGAGCACTGTGGAGTCCACCTAGCTAAAGGAGTGGCTGCCGAAGCAGCTTTGTGGTTAAGCAGAGGCACAGGGGTGGCTGCTGTGGCATGGTGCATGTATGGTCAGGAGCACGTGCGGCAAACGGCATGCAGGTAGTTGCTGTGGTGAGACTATGGCCAGCACTGGCTGCTGCAGCCTGGTGTTTGCGTGACAAGGCGCTATTGAATATGAATGGGGGAATGCTGCAGATGTGCACAGCATGGAGAACTACATCCCCGGGACCTCGTACCCCATAGCGGGAAAATATTGGGACCAGGAGTGACTGACAGGAGTGATTTGTGACCCTTGCTGCTGACTTTGCTTGTACAAAGCTGGCAGGGAAGATTGCAAATGGCAAGGATGGGATGGTGGGATGCAGCAACTGTCTGAAATGCAAGGTGGCTGCCAAGTGATTACGTAACTGTCGGGGGTCCTGAGATAAGTTATGGAAATTGTTTGTACTTGGCTTGTTGAAGAGGAAAATCATTTTTTATATATCCTTTTTCTTATTCTTTCTTTTCTTTCTCTCCCCCTTTTCTCTGCACATTTTTTCACTTTGTATATCTTATTTTTTCTTGGATCCATATTACTTTTTTAATTTTTGCATATTTAAACTTTAATAAAATTATTGACAAAAAACCAAGATGTGATCCATCCTTCCTATCAGTTTTGGCTCCGGGGTGCTCAATTGAATGAAGCAACTGGTAGAAATAATAATGAATTTCTTCTTTCTTGTACTGCATCTTTGCAGGTGACTACAGGGGGATGCATCAAAGCACAGGAGAAACTTACTGTGTCATAAATAGAAGGAATGTCTAGATCCAAATTATGCCATGTTATGTGATGGCATGTCTGTTTCCAGGTTGCAAAATGTTATAATAAGCACAAGAATAAAAGATGTCTTACTTTAATTCTTCAGGGTATGTCAGGGTTACCGCTTTTCCAAATGTTGCGTTCCAAAACTGAGCAGCATGGCTGCTTATCTGTTTATTCTTATTTAAAAACATTATGGTCAATAATGGACAAAGCTCTTCCAGGAGCTCACTGTTAAAGGATCCAGTATAGTTTGACTGCACACAAGTAAGGCTGTCTGCCAGTAACTTTTCACACTGAAAGCAAAAATGGTACAAGAAACATTAATTTAAAAATATATACGATGTATTAATCTCATTTGTATTTACATAACAAATATACTGCCTTTTCTAATTTATATCCCACTCTGATTAAATTTATAACAATTAAAACCCAAAACAAGTTACTTTCCAAAAGCAATTAGGCCATCGGCAACTTGGTTGAACGGTGATGGCTAGATGGACACACCTGTGCAGTGTGATTATTTTACTTATTCATTTACAAACCATAAATGCAAAAAGCCTAGGTGGTTCATTGCATCGCCAGTAGAAATAACAATAAAAACACATCACCCGTACATGAAGCAGCACATTTCCCATCATGTCACTATAGTGGACCCCCAACGATTGGCTCCTCCCCATCCTAGCCTGATGCCTTCGTAAAAATAAGGAGATAGCTTGTCATTGCATAAACCTCTATAGGATTCTTAATTCTTGAGTTCTCAGTCTTACTCAACTAGCAGGAGAATAACCATCAACTGAACCTCCCCAAGGCAGAGATTTGCATGCATGAAGGAGGATATTACCCTTATCCCTACCTGTACAGAATATCTCCTCCAGATTTGGAGAGCCACGCAAGGAGGGGCAGATCTGGCCTTATCAACCACATTTGGCATTGATATAGAAAGCCACTGGTAACCAGGGCAGCCCTTGAAGGACTTGTAACCATCTTGCCTGTAAAAATCTACTTAAAGCATTTTCTGCTGCATTCTGAACCAATTGCAATTTCTGAAGGCCATTCAAATGACAAAACTCGACCACACTATTGATTAATTAAGATAAAAAGATGACAATCTGATATACCGTATATGCTGGCGTATTAGGCGACCCGGCGTATAAGACGACCCCCGAGTTCGACGCCGGGTCGCAAGACGATCGACGCCAAGTCGCATATAAGACGACTTTCTAGGCATGCGACTCGGCGTTGATCATCTTATACGCCGGAAATGACGTTATTTCCGGCGTATAAGATGACTTTCTAGGCATGCGACTCGGTGTCGATCATCTTATACGCCGGAAATGACGTCATTTCCGGCGTATAAGATGATCGACACCGAGTCGCATGCCTAGAACGTCATCTTATACGCCGGAAATAATAAATAAATAAATAAACTTTATGACTCGGCGTATAAGACGACCCCTGAGTTCGGAGGCTGTTTCATCGCTCTCAAAAGTCGTCTTATACGCCGGAATATACGGTAGTTGTCAGAATTGATCCCCTATTCTGTGCAAGTGTATGCTAGCTAGAAATGCCACTGCAGTTTGCAGTATTCTCCCAGCCAAATCTGCATTTCTGTTCCAGAATGTGTCTGAATTGGGAATAACCCTCATAAAGAAATAAGTGAGCATTATTTATTTATTTAAAGGATTTATAAACTGACTCACTTCAGGGGCTTTAGGTGATGTACCAAGTCAAATATAGCACAAAGCACAATGAAGTGAAACAAGCATATGTTTCTGTTATATGTATTAATACTATATTTGTTCTAAAATTAGCTCCAGAACAGCAGGATATTGAATATTGTTAGTATTTAAAAGACAGACAAATAGCTTTTTTCCAGATATAAAGTACCTTGCTATCGAGTCCATAACTCATTCTAGATGGATTAGCAGACCTTGTAGAAAAAAATTATTTTCATGTTAAGTATTTATTCAAGTATTTATTCACCAGGTAACACCAAAAATGAAAATAAAAACAGAATTACAACACTAAGCTACTCAAGTCCATTAAAAAAAACAACAGCAGCAAAGAGCATCCCAGGAAAGTAAAGCTTTTTCCATTTATTTTTTTTTTAGAAAGCAAAAAGAAAATTCTTTGTTTGCTGCCAGAAGATAACAGAGACAAACCCATCTACCAATGGGGGAATAGTCACTGAGAATGCCTTCCTGTACCAAATGTATAGGGACTCACCTGAAGAAGTTAAAAATTAAGGTTTGTGTATAAAACTTCATAATACTTTGACAGTCACATAAAAACAGTTGTTAGACAGTTTATCTTTGTTATGAAGGTTACATATTGTCTGTAACTTCCCAATCAAGAATCTGGACTGACATCTTCAACTGGCTGAGCTTTCTAAACAATTTTTAAAGGCAGCCCAGCACTTTCAAATGAGATGCAGCTGAGGCAAATATAATGATGTCCATCTTAACACATATCAAGGAATGGGCCAATATAATTAAAAAGAACCCTCAGAGAAGAGTTAAGATTAAATTGTAGTCTTGTACATACTTTAGCTGCAAAATCCTGCGATTTTTTAAACAGATCTGTTAATGAGCATATGAATAATAAAAAAGGGCTGCAATCAAAACCCCCAAATCCCATTTCTGTTTTAAGACAAAGCATTTCTGTAATAATTGTCTTTACTTTCTTTTTTTTATTGTAAATGTTTATTAAGTTTTTTAAAATTTTACAGAAACAAAACAACCCATCCCCAAACCTCCCCAACCCTCCCATTCCCTCCCCCGAGCTTCCCAGAGCTGAACATAGGCTTAATTAAGATTTCTTCAAATAATCTAAAAGAAAGTATAAACCATGATTAAATCTAAATACTAAAAACATTAATTAAACAAATTATAAGATAATTAACAATAATATATATATATAAGAAAATATGACTATCAAAAGAATAATACTTAAAAGAAAAAAGAATAAAAAAAGAAAAAAAGAAAATAAAATCTAAAAAATATTTTAAATTTTAAATATAAGTTATTGAAAAGCTAAATAATATTTTTTAATGTCCAACTTATATTGTATAAAATCTATCCATTTTTTCCATACCGCAAAATACTTGTCTTTACTTTCTTAGCAGAAAAATGAGTTTTCCTTGGTGAAGCTTGCATATTGTGCTTGTAATAAATGTTTTGATTACAAAGCTAGTTGGTTCAAGTAATTTAAAAACTGATATAAAAACTGGATTTAAAATGTGATGTTTTAATTACAGAGCTTTAAATTAGGATGCCACCAATAAAGTATATCTAGAAAGTCAAGAGCAGTAGTAGTCAAGGGGTTTCCCATGATTACGATTACATGCTCTCAAATCATTGTCACCTGTTAGGAACCATAGAGATGCTTTTTCTCTGGAATCATCTTTCACTAACCTGGTCCTTCAGAGGTCTTCCAAGGGTGCATGTACCACCCCTGTACCTTCTCCATCCATCTTTAATCTGCTTTTGACCTCTTTTAATTTGCAGTTTTTATGAAAGGCCATTCAAAGCCACGTGGATAACCTTCCACAATTACTTCAAATTAGTTCTATGAGGCAATTTCATCACAATAACATCGGTGTGCTATTGTGATGAAATTGCCTCATAGAAGTAATAACATAACATCGGTGTGCACTTCCGGTGGATCAGCGCGGGCGATGGCAGCTACCTTGTAGCCGTCCTCTTGGGTAAGTGTATTCAATCGCTATGAACAGCGGACATCAGCTGTTCAGCAGTTCAAAATCCCCCTCCCGGGCAAAGGGGGGGGGAAGAGGGTTGTCTGAATAGTGGTAGAGCCTCTTATGCACCCCCAATATTTTTTGGGGTGTGTGTGTGAAAAGAGTGCTCCCACGGAGTTCAGACTGTCTCCGCTCCCAGCTGCTTTTGTCCCTAGGGACAAAACAAGCCGCTGCAACCACCTCCGCGATTAAAGAGATCTGGTGAGTTTTTCTTAGAAGCGGACAGAGTTGACTAGAGGATTTAGCTTTTGCTTTCTTTGACTTTACTTGGATTTTAAGTTTAAAGACTTATTTTTACGTTTATATTCCCTCTTTTTACTTTTTACTTTTTGCTGAAAGGGAAAGTAAAATGGCGATCGGCAGGCTTTCCGGCGTTTTTTTTTTCCTTTTCTTTTTTCCCTTTGGGAAGGTAGAATAGCGATCGGCAGGCTTTCTGGGGTTTTTCCTTCCCTTTCTCTTTTTTTTTTCTTTTTAATGATTGGAATGGATGTTTTATTTTATTTTTTTTTTGTTGAAAGGGAAAATAAAATGGCGATCGGCTTTTTTGGATTTTAGAAGCATTATTATTTTTGTTTAACTTTTTCGTTTTGTCTTTTGTATTTTTAAAAAAAATGGAATGGATTTTTTTTAACTCCCTTTGATTTTATTTGGATTTTTAGCTTAAAGATTTATTTTTATTTTTATATTCCTTCTTTTTATTTTTTTTCCCTTTTGTTGAAAGGGAAAGTAAAATGGTGATCGGCAAGCCTTTTGGTGTTTTCCTCTATCCTTTTCCCCTTTTTTTCTTTTTTTTAATGATTGGAATGGAACGTGGATTTGATTTTGATCTTGGGTCTGGATTTTAGAAGTATTATTATTTTTGTTTAACTTCTTTGTTTTGCTTTTTGTATTTTTTTTTTTAAAAAAGGAATGGATTTTTCTATTTTTCTATTTCATTATTTTTTTTCTTCCACCCTTTGTCTTTTAACTCCTTTCTTTTTACTATATGATCTCTTTTTGAAGGATTTTTTGATTTTTTGGAGTTAATCTCTTTTTTTCTTTTGTTTAATTTTTGTAACTTTTAAGAAGGAGTAAAGATTTCTCTAAGAAGGCTCTAAAGTGTTTAGTATTTTTTTGTTATAATGATCCCCTTTTGAAGGATTTTTTGAATTTTTTTTTTTTTGGATTTAACCTTTCTTTTTTTTTTTTGCTTAATTTTTGTAATTTTTAAGAAGGAGTAAAGTTTTTTTTAAGATGGCTCCAAAGCGTCCAGGGATTCCTACAGTTCCTAAAGTGGCTTCTTCTTCGGTGTTATCATCAGTGCAACAATCTAAATCAATAGCTTCACCCTCTTCCTTGGTCCAGCCAATAATTGTGAAGGATTTGCAAGATATGATGGGAAATGTTATATCTCAAATTAGGGCAGAAATGAAAGAGATTTTAGAGGAAAATAATAAGATTTTGAGGCAGGAGATAGTTTTGGCTTTAAAAGGAGTTGCCTCTGTTCTTGAAAAGCTGAACGCCCGTGTGGAAAAAGTGGAATTGATGGAGGGAAAATTTGAAAGTATGGAAAAAGAAATGGAAAATGAGATTCTTATGCTTCAATATGGACAAATGGAATATGCCCTAAGAATCAGAGGCTTGGGAGAGTCTTTGCAAGGAGATCTGAGAGAGATGGTTGCAAAGGACTTTGCTGTGATTTTGAATAAAGAAAAAGAGGAAATACTTGGTGAAATTGAAAAATTATTTAGAGTTAATTCTGTGGTGGCAGTGCAAAAGAATTTGCCAAGAGATGTGGTAATTTACTTTGGGAAAAGATCCCTGCGCAACGAAATTATACAAGCTTTTTATAAGAAGAGATTTCAAATTGCTTCACAAGATGTTATAATCCTAAAGGAGATCCCATCTAAAATTTTAAGAAGAAGAAAGGAGTTTGCCTTTTTAGCAGATGAACTTAAAAAGAGATGAATCTCGTTCAGATGGGATGTTCCGATTGGAATGGTGGTGAACTACCTGGGGATATGTTATAGACTTAATACTGTTTTTCAAGCAAAAGACTTTTATACTTCGGTCCTGGGGGTATGTTCATCGCCATCTATTAAGTTTAAAGCTTTGGAAGAAAAGAAGGTAGAATTGCAGTCTGAAGAGCCTATACTTATGAAAATTGGGAAACCTCAGTTTGAGGGGTCTCAACAAGTTGAGATGGAGGAGCAGAGGATAACCTGTGCAACATATAATTGTAAAGAAAAGGATCAATTGCAGTCTGAACTGCTTACATTTATGAAAATTGGGAAACTTCAGTTTGAGGGGCCTCAACAAGCAGAGATGGAGGAGCAGAAGACAACCTGTGTAACATACAATTGTAAAGAAAAGGATCAACAGAAGAAGGTCAAGGAAGTTTCACAAGTATTGGTTCCTGAATCTGCGGGAGAAGCAGGATTTACAAACTTTTTGGAGCAACCTTTAAGGGCAGAATTGCAGTGTGAAGAGCCTATATTAATTAAAAAGGGGAAATTTCAGTCTGAGGGGCCTCAACAAGTCGAGATGAAAGAGCAGAGGACAACTCGTGCAACATATAAACGCAAAGAGAAAGACCAACAGAAGAAGGAGGTTAAGGAAGCTTCACAGTTATTGGTTCTTGAGCTCGTGGGAGAACCAGGACTCACAAATATTTGGAGCTATCTTCAAGGGCAGATTTTAAAGCATTTTTTTCGAGATTTATGGACAAGAGAGACTGATAAGGGTTGTGTTTATAGTGGATGGAACTGGCTATTGGAGAGAAGATTATGGAGATCGAATGAATTTTAGATAATAAGTTTAAGTACTTAGAAGACTATTGAATTATGGGAGAAGTAAGATTTATAAACTTTTTGGAATTACCTTTAAGAGACTTATGGATAAGAGAAGGAATGTGTTTATTGTGGAGGAATTTGTTATTGGTATAATGTGGTGGATGGAATTTGTTATTGGTAAAGATTTAAATGTGTATAAGGGAATTCTAATGTTTTAAGTAATGTTCAAATTTGTGTTTTGGAGGGAGTTTATAAAGAATGATGGATAATAATATAAGTATGATATGAAAATGTTTAGAGTATATTATAATGTGTTCAATGATTGGGGTTTTTTTATTATTATTATGATTATTATTATTTTTAAGAGAAGATAACTTGTTTAATTAAATGTACCTAGATTTGTTTAGGATTTATATGTCTTTTAAGTTTTTTTTTGTTTTGTTTTGTTTTTTTGTTAGGAGAGAAGATTATGGAGATTGAAGGAAAATTTTAGATAAGAAGTTTAAGTTCAAGTATTTAGTTTAAAGTATTTAAAGAGTATTTAGTTTTAATGGTATTTTTTGTTTGAGGATAAAGAAAGAGGGAGAAATTAGATTTTATATTGTAGGTATAGATATTCAAAGAAACTAATGTTTAAATTTGTGTTTTGGAGGGAGCTTATGATATTAGAAAATGTTTAGAGTATATTATAATGTGTTTAATGATTGTAATTTTTATTTTTTTAGATTAATTTAATGTATTTAGATTTGTTTAGGATTTATATGTGTTTTAAGATTTTCTTTTCTTTTTTTGAAAAATTTTAAGTAAGCCTGTATTCAGCTCTAGGAAGGTTGGGGGAGGGTTTGGGAGGTTTGGGGAGGTGGGGGAGGGTATGGGAGGGTGGGGGGGTTTGGGGAGGGGATTTGTTTTATAAAACTTAAAAAATTTTCAATAAAAAAATATACAAAAATGAAAAAAAAGAAAAAAAAATAACATCGGTGTGCAACTGCTGCGTCGGCAAAACCCAGCCCCATAATGTACAAATGCTTACGTTATTTTTTCATATAATGCCGCTAAGGGTTTTGCAATAAATCCAAAGACAGCTCTGATGACAGAAGGCAAAGAGATGTGGCCAATGATATTTTGAAGAACGCCGACAATCTCAAAACCCACAGGAGCTAATTCTTCAAAACCAGACTGCTCAGATGCAAGCCTCTGAAGAGAGTTTGTCAATATTATCAGAAGTTTAATTAAAGAGGACAGCTTGCCAAGGGGATCTTTCTTCTTTTTGGCCCAGTCCATTGGTGTCTGTGGAGCTGAAGAACAATTTAACATTAATTTTGTTTGAAACATACAAACTTAGTAGCATTTTAAAATGAAAAGCTATTCAGATTCCATCATACCTCATACCTATTAGTTGTAATATCATTTGTGGAAGGCAAAAGATCATGCTTCTCTGTTACCATGTTCTAAAGCCAAGCTTGTTTTTATTAAAAGCACAAGTTCATGAGCAATGGGGCACTGGAGGGAGTAAAACAAAGGATACCGTATTTATGACAGCTGCATCTGATTCTGAGGCCATGTGATTGCCACTTGTGACCTTTCCAGCCAGCTTCTGACAAGCAAAGTTAACAGAAGAATTTGGCTTTTGGCAAAAAGGGCACAAAATTGGTTCGTGGCCATGTGATGGCTCAATAACTGCATGGCTGAGCGACAGATGTCCTGGTTGCAACTGTGGTTGTAAGGTTGTGGAAGAGGTGAAAAAAAATATAAAAGGAAGAAAAAAAGAGCTAGACTATTCAATATTGCAACATTTCATACTAGCAAATCTTACATCTATTTGCTGGCTGATATTTCTTATCATAAGGTGCAAAATTGATGCATTCAACCATGACTGCTGTAATGCAAGAGAGCGCATCCAACATAGATTGATTCTGAAATAGAAATAAAAGACATTTGTCAAGACAGCATTAAAAAGAGACAAAGAAATACATGTATACTAAGATAAGGGATCTCCACTTACAAGATGTGCTTCATCGTCTAATCCAGATATTATTTTGGCACACAGGTCATCACAACATACATTATCTTCTGCTGTTGGTACTAGTAATGCACAGCGGGCAAATGCTTTATACAGTTCTGACCAAGAACGCAATAGTATTTTTGCTGTAGACTGTAGCAAAACAAATTACATTTTAACAAATCTCAGATTCTAAACGGCAAGTACTACTATAGATATTCAAAGTTTCCTACCTGTGGAAATTCAGATGAAAATATACAGTTTACTGGTAGCAACAGTGCACTGTAAATTGCATTGAAATTATGCTCCAAAGCATCACCTTGATTTACATCATTAGTCTAAGGGGGAAAAAAGTAGTTCAAATTGAAAATCTTCAAATTTTTTAACACTCAAAGCATTTAAAACATTGTACCTAGGCTGACACAATCTGAACTTTATATATTTAAGACACATGGAAACCTTAATGTTCTTTTTGTTTTTTAAATCTAGTTCTGAAAATGATTTTTATTTCTGTAGTAACATTTTGGTATCTGTAACTGATACTTAAATAGATAAACTAGTTCACTATACCTGTTTAATCCATTCAATTAATGGGTTAACTATAATACTCCACATTCGCCACAGATAATTCTTATTTTCCAAGTACATGGCACTCTGACTCATAATTGTGAGTACAGACTCAGTAAAAGACAGAGGAGACGTAGGGCCAGACAAAGCACATTCCACAAGAGATTCGTAGTTCAAAAAGAATCTAGTTAAGAAAAAGTAATTAGAATCAAAATTAAAGAGATGCAACTAAATATCCAGTTGGACATAGTCAAATTAATGGTGGTAGTTTTAACTTTTAGAGATGGGAAGGGTAGTGAAGTTATACTTTTAAGTAGGATAACACTACCATTTGTTAATGCATTATTGTTAGTCCACGAGGGTTATTTTAAATAAAGTAGCATTTTCAAATAAATTCCGGTACTAGGATACAGAATTTTAAAAACTATTCTTTATTATCAAATAGAATTTTTTTTTAAAAAAAACTGTTCTGGAGTACCTACCTTTGACTCTGCACTCCATATTCCAGAAGATCTTCGAAGAATAAGAGCTGAAGTAAGAATAGTGCTGGAGTTCCCTATCAAGAAAGGAAAACCTGGGCAGTAAGTCTACTATTCATTGGAGTATTTCAGAAATGGAAGGTCTATTCTGCCTTACCAACCCTACCCATCGTCATCAGTTTCAGGACTCAATTTCTGTTTTACAAATGTCAACCAACATACTTTTATTAAATAATTCAACCCCCAGATATTACCTTGACATTATAAAGGTTTACTGTGCGTCCAGGTATTTTTCCTAGCATCTTGACTGGCAAAATTATGTAAATTCAACTGCCGAAACTTTAGATCTTCCTGCTTTTAATTAATATGTGAATTGTGTCTAAATATATACTGCCTTTAAAAAAATATTCACCTTCTTTCAGGATTTATGAAAGTTTGCACATACTCTCCACTGAACATTATTTGAGCTTCATGCGGATCCTACTAATATTTAAAGAGAATCTAGGTGACAAAATAACACCGAAGCCTGGTGACTGTTTTGTAGAATCCAATGTGAAATATGTCAGTATGAGAATATAATTACTTCCTTCGAATTATGAACTGTTTGAATTAATTTTAGTTACGATAACTGCACCTAAGTTTATCCTGTAATCAATGATCAGTCTCTCATGTTACTCTGCAGAAACTTTAGCCCACTTTTCTATGGTAGATTCCTTTAACTCAATAACATCTGAAAATTCCCTAATATGAATTGCTCTTTCCAGGTCTTGCCCTACTATTACAATAGGATTTGGGTAGGACTTTTTCCGCATTTAATAGCAAGCAAACTATCCTTAAAAATAAGTATGTTTGGATAATTAATATAGAAGAGAGAATCTGTGTGAATGTTGCAATTAATACACAAATATTTGGATCAAATTACCGGAATTCTTTTCCTTCAAAAACAAAAATACTCAACCACAACAATGCAATTTAGGGAGCAGTAGTAGACTGCCTTTATGTGCATTCCTAACCTAGTTAGTTCTTTCTTTCTCTATGCAAAAAATGAATTCCGAGCGCTGTGCAACGTATTTCACCTTCCTGATCCTATGAGAGAGAATACCATTTTTATGGCATTTTGGAGTATGTTTCTCATTTGTGCAACTTCAGATTTTTAACTGAGAATTAGTATATTTGATATACTGCTGCTCTGTGGAATAATATTATAGTATACAAAAGGATGGGGTCAACTCTTGGGATTAAATACTTTCTTAATGGATATACAATTGAAGACATTTTTGTTTACATGGATTATTTGTTGAATCTAAATGATGAGTGCATTTCTATAAAGGAAAAAAAACAATTAAAACAGTTCCTGGTTTTTGAACAGTACGAAAGCTCAACTGGTTTGCTCTCATACTGACGTGTTAATCTTTATCTCACTAACGTGTTAATCTTTATCTGGGAATATCTCAATTTCCATTCAATGTTTTAGACTTAAGCAGATGGATGTGACATTCTGACTCATCAGCTTTTGTTTTCCTGCTTTAGGAGAGGGTCACCTTAACCAATGTGTAGAAATTCCATATCCATTATTGTAATAGTTTAGGAATTTAGGATCTAGTACAGGGCTTTTCAACCAGTGGTACGGGTACCACCTGTGGTACATTGGCACCTGGCAGGTGGTACACGACCATCCTAGAAAAGTGGTAGTGGGGGAAGGGAATGAGCTGAACTGGTGGCAGCACCGCACAAGCCTGAGCGAGAGATGGCTGGAGCTGCAGGGCTGAGCGGAAGCGCCAGGATCAGCACCAGGCTCCAGCTGGAAAGCAGCACTGATCCTGGTGCTTCTGCTGAGCCCTGAAGAAGCACCAATCAGCTGGAATGTTGCAGCATCACACGGTCTTGTGATTTACATTCAGATACTTGGAAACTGATTCATATTTATGACAGTTACAGTGTCCTAGGATCATATCAAGTGACCAAAACCTGGGGGGGGGGGAAACCAAACACCCTCCCACCGCACCCCTGCTGGCAATCCTCAACAGAAATGCTCACAACAATGAAAACCTCGGATAGCAGGAAGAGCGTGGCTGGGCGGGCAGGCAGGTGTCTTGCTCGGCTGTGGCTTGGTGGGCACTTTTTTCAGTGCCATTGTAACTTCGAACAGTCACTAAGTGAATTGTTGTAAGTCAAGGACTACCTGTACTTTATCACTTTTTTCACTTTTTTTTTTTTTGGTCATCAAGTTTTGCCATGCAACTGGTGGTACTCGGATGTTGCCATATCCTAAAAGTGGTACAATGGGTGAAAAGGTTGAAAAGCCCTGATCTAGTAGGATTAAGAGAACCACTTATAAATACGTATGACTGAAATCTTACCAGTTAGATCTCTTTTAGGATATGTGGCATACCATGTTTTGTGTAACTAATCTGAGCAGTATCACATTACTGTATACTTACATTCAGAAGATCCATGTCAGCAATCAGATAGGCTGGTGATCCCAATACTTTTGGAGGCAGTTCTTTAATAGCCACTTCTAACAAAGACTAAAACAGAACGCAAAGTATTTTATTTAACAAGTAACAAGGTAAAATAATTAATTAATATTTATATCAAATCTCTAATCTAAAATTAGAAAATACTATTCTCCTTTGATAATACATTGTTTATTTGAAAACTATAATATAATGAAAAAAGTCAAGATTACCCAAAGCAGCATTCTGCTGCACAAGAAATAAACACTATTTATAGCTTATATCATCATACAAATATGACTTATCCAAAGTATTCTGTTGTGTATGTGTACATACAATAGAAAAATCTGCCCTTGAGCTTTAATAAATAAATAAAATGCTGGAATCACTCTTGTAAGTAGGAGAATATTTGTAGCTCAGGGTTGAAATGGGGGGGGGGTCCTCGGTGTTCTCATAAGCATCAATGATTTTACCTAGTTTGGCTAATGAAACATCTTGACGAAAGCAACCAAACTCACAGCATCAAGAACCCCTCAAGTATATAAACTTCTGAATAGCAAAATATTGCCTTGAGCTCTAATAAATAAATAAAATACCAGAACCACTCTTATAAATATATAAACCCCTAAAAAGGATATCCAATTTAGGATTCATTTTATATAAGAATGCTGAATACCATCTATTTAAAATTCACACATGTAAAAACTCTATCAATACTTACCAATGAGTTTAATACTGGCAATTGTTTTGACATAATAATGTTTTTTAAAGTCTGCAGCAACATGGTTAATACTTCTGAATTCGACCGCTCTCTTTTGTTGCCTAGAAATAAGTTATGCATGCGGTGGTCAATCAGATCTTATAACACTAGACCCAGTAACCAGCTTCATACATTAATTGCATTTTTACCGAGATCCCATGTTGGGCAAATCACTTCTAAATAATAAAGTTTAACTGCAAGCTGGTTCAAACATGGTATGTACATGGTACACCAATTTATTTAGATAGCCATAAGCGTAAATGAATAAATTCAGTATCTTCTCACTTTCATACGGTCTCTGTACAGTTAAAGCACATAAACAATTATTACCTGATTCAATTGCAGCTTTCACAAAACCAACTAGTTCTTTCCATATAGCAGTGAGCATACAATCTGCAAGGCATGATGTTTAACAAAAGGAAAATCAAGGTGAAAAATCAGTAGGTAGATTTATATTAACAAACATTGGAACAGGTGCCTGAAAGATGCTGACTACTGTACTATAAGAAGCTTTTTTAAAAGAAAAAAAATGCCCACTGAAGAATTTTCTGTGAGTAGAAGAAAAAAGCCACACACAACTGGGTAAGCTGTTTACATCCAAATCACCAGGGCAGCCATTTCCTCCCTTTTAAAAGTCAGCAAAAAGGTTTCTGGGGCTTATCTTGCCTGGAGGGAGACAAGGAACTAATTCAGTTTACTTTTCAGGAATGGTAAGGAGCAAAGAAGGAAAAATGGAATAAGTCTGCAAGGAACGGTCCAACCAAAGACTCAAAATACAATCCCAATAGAGTACAGTCAGTAAAATGCTCAGCTCCATCTATCTGAGCAACTAAAATGAGCTGTGATTATCAATTTTTTCCTCATCTTTTTTTCTTATGACTTGCCTCTTTTCCACTTTAAGCCTGACGGCGAGAGCTGTCTAACTGATTTATTTTTGATTCATTTAGTTATATTTATATAGTATTCCTTTACTTAATGCCTTTTGACTTTGGAGTTGTAGTTACCTGCTTTCAATAAATACTTTAACCTGCACAAAAAAAAAAAACTTACCAGAAATTTCTTGTCCGACTGCAATGAAGCCATCCTGAGCTGCATTTATGAAAACACTGGCATGTTTGCAGAAGAAGGAAAGACTGGTAATTACTGGGTACTGGAGAGGTTCTATATAAGAAGGCAGTAAAGAACTATTATCACTGACAAAAGGTATGAGAATCAGCAGTTTTTAAAAATAAAACTAAGGTTGCAGTATTTTACTTGTTAAAAAAATTGTTTTATCAACCAAAGAGTTACCTAAACTAAGTACAATATTATTTTCCTCGGCAAAAGTCAATATTTCCTGTCCCTTAAAGAAGTGAAGTAGCATTTCAATTCCTAGAATCTGAATAGATGGAATGACAACAGCTCCTCCGATGCTAGCATTCTGAGTCATCCTTGGACTGGCAACATTTCCAAAAGGGAAAACCCCTGAAATAAAAAAGTTGCATTTTTCGTCTCTCACTTCTAGCAGAGAAAATTGTTCATATGGGGGGGAGACACCCCACCCCATTAGGAGAGTCTTGAAAAGATGGTTGATGGAAATGAGGTTGAAGATCTGATTATGTCTCATGCTTCTAACAATAGGATTGTACTTCAAAGCATTTTATTTAGAAAGTTTCCCCAAATGTGTAAGACACTATCTTCCATTACGGACCTATTGTATGCTTAAACTGCAGCTACACAATTTTAAACTGCAGTGCTTGTTATTAATACTATCTTAACAAAAATCAAACTTTCAAAATAGTCTACTTTGCAAGGCAAATGCCTTAGGACAAATTAGGAGTGAGGAACAAATGGAGAATTTTTTTTTTTTAAACCCAGAACAAACCAACACATTTTGTGGGTTGTGCTGAACCATTTCAGGTCAGTGTTAGAACTGAGATTGCTCTCCTCCTCCTCCTCAATGGCATATCCCACCAGTGTGGTCATCACCTCCCAACCTTCCCCTCAGCTGCCAATGTGCTTGTACTGCTTGCTTCATACCTGATTTTTGTGAACAACCTGGTATAGCTAAACTCTGATTAGAAATGAACCGTGATGAATTTCCTTGTAGCTGAGAGGCATCCAGGCATAAGGTGTTCTGAATTAATGGTACACCAACCTAAAAAAGAAATACTGAAGCGTAAGCCCAAAAATAAAATAAATGGGCAGACCAGATCTCAATAATTTATTCTAGCAATAAACAAGAGACGGTGTCTACTGCATAAAGACATTATTTACTGAATGAGACAATGCATACAAGAGGACAACTAATATGTAGAAATGTCAATAGATCTGTGGTCGATGAAATATACCTTCAGGCACATAGCTATCTGATGTGCTGTTTCCGGATCACATTTTTTAAAACTACAGCACTGATTTAAACACAATTTCCAAAATTATAACCAATTCAGTTCTACTTAATTCAACACAGCAAAAATCTCTAGAGCTTTTGATACTTCATTATTACTTAGTAATTACTAATTTATTTCATTATAATAAATCAATAAATAATATAAATCAATACATTATAAATTCAAATATTCTAACCTGAACAAAGTTCACTGACTACCGTGATGATCATGAAATATTAGAATATGTAAATACCGTATTTTCCGGAGTATAAGACGACTTTCTAAACCCTGAAAATCTTCTCAAAACTCGGGGTCGTCTTATACGCCGGGTAGCTGTTCTCTGAATTTAAAACCAATCTGCCCCCTAGTGGCCAGCCCTATTTTTTTTTTTTTTTTTACAAAAATAAGCACTAACAGTGTGTTTCTCAATCTTGACAATTTTAAGGCATGTGGACTTCAACTCCCAGAATTCCACAGCCAGCAGGACAAAGCATTCAAAAATCCCATTTAAATTTTTAAATTTTTCTTTACAAATGTAAACCCAGCAAACACACTGTTCACCAACTATTAAGTGATTTATGTTTTAAAAAATCAATAAAATATATGGGGAAAAAAATACCAGCTGAATCCAGGAAGCATTAGGGAAGCAGTGGTGGGCAACACTCGCTTTCTAGCAGCAAAGGAATGGAGCTCCTATTGTGCTCATCTATAAACAGAAATTCAATATTGTACCATATTTTCCGGCGTATAAGACGACTTTCTAAACCCTGAAAATCTTTTCAAAAGTTGGGGGTCGTCTTATATGCCCAGTCGTCTTATACGCCGGAATATATGGTACTTTAAACTATTAAATCTTTTGTGAGAAAATAGAAATCAAATAGAAATCTAGGTCAAAGAGCCTTTCCGATTTTAATTAATGCTCAATATTAGTTTAACAACAAATATTAAGTTACCTGTTCAAAGTGGACTGGAAGCTGAGATCCAAGCCTAATTAATAAATACCACCAAACTTCAAGCTTGGTCACTGCCAAAGTTTCAGTTCTTACATGAATAGAGCTCAGTGGTTGCATTAGCAATCTCAGCCTTTTTGCACTGCATAATATATCTTGAAAAATAGAAATAGAAATTATTATTATATCCAATAGAATGAGAAGCAGAGTTTAATTCTTTTTGCCTCACTGGGTTGCCATTAATTGAAAATGGATTTGTCTAACAAATATAGCATCCCCTTTTTAAAAAATATTTTTTATTGAAGATTTCAACAATTCTGAAAGGTAACCCAAACTAATATCAGAAAGAAAATATAAAATATAAATACAAAATGCAAGAAAAATAAAGAAAAAAGAAAACCAGCAGAAAAGCAAGAAGTACAAATAAGCCACTCCTTTCATATGAGTGTTTCAGGAATATAATAATTCTTACGCTTGTATAATGATTATGTATTTGAATTCTATACTCCCTACCCATCTCCCTAAATGCTGCCATGAGCTTTCTCATGGGGAAGGCAAATAATCCAAAAAAGTATTGTAGACACCTGTCTCTGAGGAACAGAGAAAAGAAAGATTACTTCTGATTTCTCACAACAAAAGAATGGCCACTGCAGACAAGGGACTTGCTTAACAACAGCTGCACAAAGCCACATAGTCATTTGCTTAATGATCAGCACAACTTACAATCACAATTCCAGGCTAATTAGTTTTAACTTGAGGACTTCCTATATACCTTTTCCTAGATTGGGTTGGGAAATGTCTTTCAGTCTCTCTTGGCCTCGTCATCTCACTGCTTGACTACTGCAACACAGTCTATATGGGATGCCTCTGAAGACTACCTGGAAGTTGCAGCTGGCCCAGGATGCAACAGTGCTGGCAATGATGGGCACGGTTCAATATGCCCATTTAATATCTCTGCTTTGTGAACTGCACTGTTTGCCAGCTTGCCTCCAGGTGCGACTCAGGGTGCTGATTACTATCATAAACCCCAACCCCAATAGGGCCTGGTTACCTGAGGAACTGATTGTCTCCCACAGTATTTGCCCAGCCGATCAGGGTTGGTTGGTTGTTTTGATTAAACAATGCCATCTACTGTGATCCAGGATGCATGCCTTTTCTGTGGCAGCTCTTGCCTCCTGGAATAAGGGTCTTCCTGAGAGTCAAATGACCTTTACGCTACTGGTATTCCGATGGGCCTTTGGCAAGCATGACTGAGGACCATTTTCCTCTTTTTCTTCCTTCCCATCCAGGTGTCTCTGGGGATTCTCAACCATTCAGGTCAGGGTTGTCCCAAAGGTGCTTTTCAAAAGACAACTGGACTTTCTTGTTTTTTTCATTGAAAACGTTTCTCTTCTCATCCAAGAAGCTTTTTCAGTTCCGGACCTGTTCTCAGAACTGAAAAAGCTTTTTGGATGAAAAGCAAAAAAAATTCAAAGGAAAAAAAACCAAGAAAGTCCCACTGCCTTTTGAAAAGCATCCTTGGGGCTTCCTATCCAGGTTTCCTATCTCTGACACCTTTATTCCTTTTGTGTTCTTTGTTTTTAAATGTTTTTAACAATTTGAAAATTGCCCAGAGTTGCCGGGAATTAGGCAGAATTTAAATTTGAGTAAATGCTTTAGAGTGGATGAACAGCACATTCTCATAAGAGATAGCTGGCATCTGGTAACAATTAATAACTATGTAAATCTTATATTAACCATAGTCAGTATGTGACAAGATGGCAACTAATTTAATTTAAAGTATCGACATCACTAATAACTTCCTATGTTTTGTGTGTCAGTTTAATCACTGATTTTCCTCCTGCAGGTGAGAAACAAGAGTATATTCCTTGCTGATACATTACTGCTCAACGTGTTAAGGTACCTGGATTTAAAGCAAAGTTATCAATCAGACTTTTCCACGCAATGAAAGCTATTTTCTTCACCACCGGGGAGCCACTACGAAATCCAAGTTCTTCTAAATGGAGCAGGGAATTGATAAAGCTTCCACTGTGGTGCAGTGTCTAAAGGGGAAAATGCAGCATCATTGTATACTGTAATTGCACTTCCAGTATCATAGGTTAAAATGATTTTTTTTCTCCAACTTACTTTTCCAAGCAACTTTATAAACAGGGGCCACAGTTTCAGAATATATGTTTCATGTTTTGAAAAAAACAGCTTTTGGAGTTCTGGAATTACTTTCTGTAGGATTATAATAGAGAACATTTATTAAAATGTTGTATTAAGTTAGATAAAAATGCACCTTAATGAGATTCTTGGGGTTTGTTCAGAGATGGCCAGCTAAGGTCCTACAACAGCACTCTGAATTATTTTACATGAATAGGAATTGTTTGTCAAATATCTAGAAGGAATTTGCAGTTATGCCTCACTCCGAAAAATGCCAAAGCCATTTTTAAATTCCATGGGATGCAAGAAGGAATGATTAAATTACTTGTGGCAAATCTACTGCATAATTACCACACGAGGCACAATTCAGCAATTTATTCTCTGGGATTAGAAACTGGGTTGCTAAGAATAAAAATCAAATGTGTTTTGAATAGGTTTAAATTGACTCCAGCAACAAGGCTACCATTAATAGTATTGCGTGTTTATAGATCAAAATGATGGAAGAGTATTACAAACAAATCGCTCTCCAACAGATTGTCACCCAAGGATTCACTATCCTTAAGGCTTAACAATGAAAAATATGTAATCAAACAGTGGATCTGGGACAGAGCCACTAAATAATCTAAGGATTTTAAACTTTTATCAACTTTTCATAAAATCCCAGAGACCCTCTTCTGACGCCTGTTTTTTCTCTTATTCCATGTTATCATTTTTAAGAGCTTGCCTTAATGCCATACCCTCAGTACTTTTTTTTAAAAGATGCTGTAATATCCCAGGTCCCAAGAGGATTTCTACTATGAGAATGAGGTAAGATAGAGAAAACTGAACATGCTTTTTTATACTGTGAATTTAATCCAGACTTTTATAAAATGCTGATATGGTCTTTATTTTAAAAAAAATCCAAGTTAATCAGATGGATTTTACATTAAATATCATTCGGCTGACAGAGACTCCATAATTACATATTGTACACAATTGTAAAATTTTATTGTGCCGCTATAAAAATTATTTGCATTCTTGTAACCCTTACAGAATTGATCCGTATCAATCGTATGAAATTTGACTTAAGTTTTTAAACACTGGGTTGACATACTCTTTTATTACTATCTTTTCTCTATTGTTTTATATCAATTGTCCTTTAGTTTGCATGTTTGAAGACTACAAAAGGTATACATTCATTTATTCAATTCAGAATAAATGTATTAGTAACATCTAATCTAAAGGATTATACTGAAAAACACCTGAACGTACAATTTCCTGTGGAAAAATATAAATATTAAGATATTATATTAAAAATTACAAATAGCAGTCAATTATCATTTTAATACTCTTTCAAAATAATACATTTCACTTCAGGCTTCATTTGTATTTATCTTCCTATATTTAAAGTACGACTCTGGTATTTATTATATAATATTTGTACCAATTTCAATGATTTCTATTTTAGATTTTTAATTTATTCCAAAAATATACATCACTAAAAATCTAGTAAAATAGCTGTATGGGGACCGAATGAAGGTCATGCAAGAAATATGTTAGGCTCTATGGTGCTCTGCAAACACATTTAAGATATATTTGACTTACAGTGGTCATGATTTGTTCAGTGACTGTTATCACCTCTTGGTGCTGCTGAAGAAGTGGTAGACCCATTTCCAAAGCACTAGCAGCTCTTAATTGTACTTTATGAGCTGAGTGAACCACCAAAGGAATTATTATCTTAGCCCACTTCACAGCCTGTTGCTCCATGTCGGATGGAGCCTGTTCTATCAGCCTAAATTTTAGAAACACAAATATGAATAAGTTTTGCAAATACAAATATGAATACATTTTTCCAAGTTTTTGCAAGTTTGTCAAAAGAACTGAGTATGCAGGTTATGAAAATCTCTTAACTCTCACATGGCAGTGGTTTGCAGTCTATTCTGAATAACATTACATTCAAAGACCAATTGAAGATGTCTACAGACCAAAGACAAGATAACTTAATCCACTGTCAATTATCCAACTGGCGTCAATGCAATAATGAGGCCATTTCAGCTGATTTGGACCACAAATAAACTAAAATCACTTTAGATTAAATAAAAGCTAGAATATGATCTCATTTCAATAGATCGTTGATAGTTGAAGTAATATGGAAAATTTTTCTCAAACTAACTCTTACAAGTAGCCATTGCCTATCGACTACATTATAGAACTACCATTTATGTTACATTGCTACCATTGGTGTGCTCCAATTATAATATGAAATACAATATCAATAAAGATCCAATATAAAGTTAGTAGCTTAACTGGAAAGTAGAACAAATTTCCACAAAACTATAAATACATATACAATTTCTCTGACACATAATGTGATAAATTCAAAACATAAATATTACTGAGCATGCAGTACAATCATAACAGTGCTATAGCTTACAGTGTAAACAGGTCAACATTTAAACAGAAGTCTTTCTCCTCTTCTAATTTTTAACCAATTTATAACTGACACATACCGGATGATAACATTTAGCGCTTCATATTCAACTACCATGGAATGTAAATCTCCTTCTAGTACTGTTTCTAGCATAGCAATAATACTGGGTACCTGAAAAGATATAATGAGTTAAGTACAGCAAGACTTTTAATCAACTTTTATTTATAGGTGATGAAAACAAATCTTACTCACCAACTTTGCAACAGTATCAGGAGGAAAGGACTGCTTTGAGATCACCCAAAGTGCTCTTGTGCGAGTGTGTTTGTCTCCTGAATTTAAAGCAACATTGTTTAATGTAGAAAGTAGTTCGTGTATTTCTATTTCTGTTAAAAAAAAAATAGAAAAACCAGAAATTATTGTTAGAGGTATTATCACGATGTAATAATTGATAGTAACAATTTTCCTGGTCTGTATGAAATTCAGACTAATTTCCCTGCTAAGACAATTCTCCAATGGCTGCAGACATGCGGTGTCTAATTTTCCCTAAAGACCATAACACTAACTGCCCTGGGATTAGAGATATAGGATTTATTTTTGACAAAAGTCAAGACACAAAGCATACTACGGTTTTTCATTCATGTTTCACAGAAATGGTATGCAGAAACATTTGCTCTATGTTCTAGCAACTCATATATACTTAAATCAAATAATCCTAAATAAAAGTATGTGGATACAAAACAATTCACTTCCACATATGCATCCATGTGTATAAAGGGATGGCTCAACAGAAACTGCTGTTCTGGATAGGAGTGTCTTTAATAATGATGTATACCTCTGGCAGTATGCCAACAGGTAGGAAAAAATATGCCAAAGAACTGCTCATGTGAGTATTTGATGTCAGGGAAATCCACAGGTTATTTGTATTTGTTTTTTATATTTTTAAACTGATTAAAAATTATTATTTTAAAAAAATGATTCTTAGATCTCTGCAGGTTTTATTTTGGCTGAAACATGGACCAGTCAAAAGATTCTGATGTTTATTTATGCTGAAATTTAGCTAATGGGAAGCAGATTTAAAAGTAACATATTCCAATTCATGGACATTTCTATCTGTGATTATGTAATTCTGTTAGTATATCATAAGTGTCTGTATGTCCATTATTTACAGATATACACATAGACTATGGATACCAGTCATTGGAAGAAACTGGCTAGTCAACCTGATTAGATATAGTTTATCAATGTTTATAATACAAAAAGGTATTTACCACATAACAAGGAAGAAATCTTTGGATTAAATACACAATATCCCAAAGCTTGTAAAGCTGCACTGCTCAACTCCGCATTTTCAGAAGGAATATATGTCTAAACAAGAAAGAAAACAAATCTAAACTCACACAACAGAAGACTGACCACTTATATTACTTCAATTTGTCAAGATCTGAAACTGGTATCATTCTCTAATCCAGAACTGAAGAAGCTTCTTGAATGAGAAGAGAAACGTCTTCAAAGAAAAACAAGAAAGTCCAGTTGCCTCATGAAAAAGCATCTTTGGGACAACCATGACCTGGATGACTGAGAATCTCCACAGAAATCTCTAATCCAACCTTACCAATCTGGTAAATCTCTAGATCAGGGGTGTCAAACTGCTGGCCCAAGGGCCGGTGGCATCATACGGAGGTCATGCCCCCTCCTCAGCTCTGGCAATGCAAAAAAAGTGGTGATATGTCACATGACACGGCGAGTTTGACACCCGTACTCTAGATGCTCTTCAAGCACCATCCATAGTCACTTTACTGGAACACATGAAAGTGGACTTCCAGCTAATTTGGAGGGTGACCAAATTGGAGACGGTCGCTATATTTAAAGATTAGATTATTTAATATAATATTTCATCTTACCCTCAAATACAACAGCTAGTTAATTTGCAGGTTATTTCTCTAATCCACACACCAAAGCTGATATTTATCAGTAATTTAGTGATCTTGATATGAAAATGAATAAATTTATTTCTCTTGTTTAACAGGCAAATTTGATAGTACATTAAGTTACTTTATCTTGAATAAAAAAATCAATAGCGATTTTTGACATGATTCAAATTGTTAAAAACTTACAAAAGTATGCACCTTTCAAATTAAAAGCTTCAACTGCTAATCTTGCCCAATTCTGGTGACAGGAAGCAACTTAAACTTGTTTAGCCTGAAGTATTTAGATAACTAAGCAGGGCAATAAAGACTAAGCACAGAAGTGAAATACATACCATAAATATTTTGTAAAGTTGTGGGAAACAGTTTTCAATCTCAATTGCTAATTCCCTTCCTTCGTCTTCATCCTCTTCATTTTCAGTCAGACGACTTAATATTGAAAAACAAACAGGCTTTCAGTTAAAAAGTGCTCAAATGTACACATATACGAAGCTATTTAAAGACCAACCAATACAATCTATGAGTCAGTATGAATTTGATGACAGACATTTATCAGTTATCAGGCTTTGCTTTTAAGAACCTCAAGCACTTCAAGCTTTCCGTTAATACCCAAATAAAATATTTGGGGATAAATTAAAAGGAATACTGATAGTGATGTTAAAAGATAGTCTGGCACGACAAATGCTCTAAGCTGAGAATCTTATTTCTAGCAAATATTGGATTATGATATTGTAAAGATTATGGATCTGAAAAATAATGTATTAAAGACCAAGTTATCTGATAAAGTGGCAAATGATTTCAAGTTATATAGTATATTAATGGGGAAAACTAAAGCAAATAAATGGATTTTTGTACCTTCATATGTTTTTGTACCTTCATATAATGTTTATGGGAAAATAAGTAGAAAAATATCAAGATCAGAAAATACAAAATAGTGAGTAGTAAGTGGCCTACTCATAAAATAAAAATGTATTAACAAAAGGAAAAACAGCTCTGTAGAAAAACATGCTTCTATGACTTTGTTACATGGAACAAATAGCCATGTCAGGAGAAGTTGAACCCAGTGGGAATGCAGTATTTAAGTGCATGTGTTCAATAAGGAAAGGGCACCCCAAAGATGCTTTTCAAAAAGCAACCGGACTTTCTTGATTTTTTTCTCTTGAAAACATTTCGCTTCTCACCCAAGAAGCTTCTTCAGTACTCTTGGGTGAAAAGTAAAACGCTTTCAAAGGGGGGGGGGGAGAAATCCCAAGAAAGTCCAATTGCCTTCTGAAAAGTACCTTTGAGACAATCATGACTTGGATGATTGAGAATCTCCATAGACAAGGAGTGGGTGCTACATTAATATAGATTGAATACAGAAGTGAATGAATACTGTGAAAGAAGTAAAATGCAATGGCTTCATCATGCAAAAGGAGCGAATAAAGGTTGAAAATTGCCATTAAACAGTGTTGGTAAGATCTCAAAAAAGAGACAAGAATTTTAAAGAACAAAAGGCATGACATATATAGGAAAGGGGTGGGAGCAAAAATGGTTTGTCTGAATATAAAGTTATGACATGGTGCAACAATATTTTGGTGTAAACCATATTTCCCTTTTTATGTTATGCTTTCAATGTATTTGGCTTAATATATTTAACTCCTTTTCTGTACTCTGCTTAACATTCCTTATGCCAAAAGAAACAGAGGGAATGAAAAAAACCTGACTTTATGTTGCAGATCATGAACTGCTCAAGCTAAACAGAATAAAAAAGCTAACCGCTTTCCACAATATGATCTTGAGCATATATCCATCACTTTCAAGGAGAACATCAGGAATCACACTGAAGTCCTGGATGTCACTAATAGAGAACTGAGGAATTGTAACTAAATGAAATGTACTTTAAAAAACTGAGGATGAGAGTAGAAAGAGACTGCCAAAAACAAAGAAAGCAAACTGGAAGTCAGAACAAACAGTGAAAATTACTAAAAGAGAAGCCAAAGCCAAGAAAGACAAAAGTCTCAGAAAGGAGTTTAACAAGTAACTTTCAGAGAGCTGTTAGAAGAGATAAGCAGCAGTATTGCAAGATCTGCAAATGGCAGTAGATTTATTCATTTTAATTTTTAATATGGTAAATATTGATAAATAAAACCCATACAGGGAAACCTTGGTACTCAACTGATTTGAAACATTGAATTTGGTACTCAATGCATTTTGATGCGAAAAGAGTATGCAAACTATCACTCTTACTGGACTACTGTAAGGTGGTCTCTTTAAGAATTATCAGGCAGCTTCAATTGACTTAGAATGCAGTAGTGCAGGCAGTTATGCATGCTCCTAATAGAACATATATTACATCTCCATACTAAGAGCTGCATTAACTGCCAGTTCTGGGTCCAATTCAAAGTGCTGGTTTTAACTTTTAAAGTCCTTTATGGCATGGGACCAGGTGATCTGGATCCCATGGATCATCTCTCCCAATCACATCAGCCCATCTCATTAGATCTGGCAGAGAAGGCATACTGTGGGCACCATCTACCAGGGGACCCATTTTTGGTAGATCCCCAAAGACAGGTCTTATCTGCTATGGAATATCCTCCCTAATTCAGATTAGGTCAATCATTCTGGAAATCCCTTAAGACCTGGCTGTGCCAGCAAATCTGGGGATTCCAGGGAACTGGAAATATTCTTAGGTTGATTTTTTTAATCTCCCCATGTGGTTTGTATGTTTTACATTTTTTAGGTTTTTTTCAAAATTTTTTAATAATGACTATTTTTATTATTTTATATTCATTCTTTCTACTGATTGTTGTATGCTGCCCAGAGTCACTTCTTGCAAGATGGACAGTCATATAAATCTGATTAATAAAATCATACAATATCCTTACTTTCACATGTTAACAAAATGAAGATTATGAAGATTACAGCCCTACCGGGAAAAGATGACAAGCCAGCTTTAGAAAAAGTTAAGGAACATAAGGCATTACTGATGATACACCCTGGATAACTGAGAAAGCCAAAGAAAACCGAAAGGAAGTCTCTGTGTGCTTCATTAATTACAGAAAGGCCTTTGATTAGGTTGTTCACGTGAGACTGGCTCCAGATTGCCAAAGGAGTGTGGCAAACCTGTATATTATTTTATTCAACGTATATGTTGAATATATATTAAAAAATAGTGGGTTGAAAAAAGATGAGCATTGTTTTAAAACTGAAGAAATAAGTATCAATTATATATGCACTGCTGATGATACTACTGATAGCCCAAATTGCAAAGAATCTCTAAACTCTAGTAATAGTCAGAGTAAAAAAAATGAAACTAAAATTAGACACAAAACTAATGACAATAGGTACAACCAGTCTTAGAATTGAAAATGAAGACACAAACAGACTTGTATAGTGACAGCCTGTTTCACATTCAGATATGATGATGAAAAAGTAACTTTGTGACCAATGCTGAAGGAAAAGCACAATTGTGGTTTTACTTAGTGACCACTTTGCTTTACAGAATAACTGAGTTGGAAGGGACCTTGGAAGTCTTCTAGTCCAACTCCCTGCTCCAGCAGAAAACCCTATACCATTTTAGATAAATGGTTATCCAATCTCTTCTTAAAAACTTCCAGTGCTGGAGCACCCATAACTTCTGGAGGCAACTTGTTCCACTGATTAATTGTTCTGTCAGGAAATTTTTCCTTAGTTCTAAGTTGGTTTTCTCCTTGATTAGTTTCCAGCCATTACTTCTTGTCCTGCTTTTAGGTGCTTTGGAGGATTTACGCTCAAGTTGCTAGCCCCAATTGTGGTTAATAAATGAGGACTATCTATACTAAAGTGATGGATAGCTTGTCTTTTAAGATCAATTAGAAACAGTACAGAACCCAGCAGTCAAGAAACACTTCTCAATTCAGCTCTTAGTAGAGTAGCTATGATGACCTTGGAAAAGATATTCAGACGTATCTTCAAAGATCAGAACTGGGCAGGCAAATCTTCCCTGTGACACTATGGAAGCGAAAGTTGGATTTTGAAGAATCAAGAGAGGAACTGACACTTTTGAGTGGGACAAGGCTCCTGAGAGGATCTTGGATAGCAAGGGAAAAAACCCTCCAAAATAAATGTATCACAGAATAAACCTAGATTTTTCACTACATTGTGATCAAATTATCATATTCTGGACACATTGTGTGAAGAACTAGTTTCCTAGAGAAGTCTGCAGTGCTGGGAAAGTGGAAGGAAAAAGAAGAGGATGACCAGCATCAAAATGGATGGACTCAATTACAATGATGGGTACACCATTGGAAGACCCTGAAGTACTAGATCGGGAACAGATCACCCTGGTGAAAATCTGTGGAATTTACTCGATGGCACATAATCAATGGTACCATTTAAAAAAAAAATTATATTGGGATACGGCACTAATGCCTTTTTCCCATGCCATTATCAGAACATATTTGCCTTCAATTGTGCAGCAAACCAATATCCCTTAAGAAAGCGCCCCCTTCACCAAAAGCTTCCCCAGTCGAATTGCTGCGATTCAGAAGAGGAAAAACTAGTTATAGTTAGAACCATCGTGTAAGCATGTCAGAAAATGTCCTGCAACCATGTCAAAAAAAAAAAAAAAGCTACCCTTAAAAACTCTCTTTTCTACAGCATTTTACAAAAAGCACCGAATTCCTGTTGGCACGTTTAAAAATCGAAGTAAAAAAAAAAAATGAAGAGAAAGCGCGTGAATTGTGGAACTTTTTCGGCCCTGAGGGGATAAAGTTGTCAGCTATGCCCCCCTATTCATTAAAGGACGAAAGACAACAAAACAGAACAAAACCCCAATTTCCGAGGAGCACGTTGGGCAAAGAAAAGAAATCCGAGCTGGCGATTTGCTCAGGAAGCCGCGTAGAGTCAGGATGCTGCGCTGCGTTGGATTCGGCAAAGAGGTGCCTGGCTTACGCGCACCGCTTGGTCTCTGTTTCGCCTTCCCGGACTGGCCGGAGGGGCGCCAAGAAGAGCGCCACCCCCTAAACAAAGTTGCCGTTGTTTCTTTAAACAAAAATATCCCGTCCACGGCTGGCCAGAGGGACGCCGCCGGCACGCCTCGCATCCAGTCGCGGACAGCACAAGGAGTCGTGGTCGGGACTCACTTCGTCAGGGTCAGCAAGGCGTCAGTCAGCGCCCCCAGCGAAGCGGCCGGGTCCTCCAGGGTCTCCAGCAGGGCCCGCAGGCTCGTCCCATCGCAGGGTCCCATCGCTGACTAACCGCTCGAGGGGAGAAAACGGCTGTTAACTAGCCGCCACCCGCTCTCGAACGCGGTTCCCGCGCTCGCGTTCCTTTTCTCGCGGGCGAAGATGGCGAAGCGCGGGAGCCGGAGCCTTGGGGGCAGCTCTCGCCCAATCAACGCGCGCAAAGATCGGGAGGAGGCGGGGCGCGGAGTTGAGGCAGAGCGCCGAGAAGTCGAGCGCCGCGAATGTTTCGGCTCTTGCGGTTTCTCCTTGCCCCTCCCTCGCGAGGGAGAGCGCGGAATCATCGATCGACACGCTTCTTCTTCCCCCCCCCTCCCCGCCCTCCCTACTGGAATCGAAGATGTTGTGGATGGCTGTTTGCCGATGGAAGCTGGGTTATTTATCCACCAGGCCCAATGATTGCTGTCTCCTTTCCGTTAAGAATTAAGGGAAGGGAAGGGAAGTCGAGCTGGGGAGCATTTTGCACGATGCAAAGATACCTGATTTGAATCAGCGATTCGACTGAGATGCTCTGCTCATTTGTTTTGTTGTAGACGAACTGATATTGCAGCCAACTCTCATTTATGACTAACCCCATTCAATAAAGTCATAGAACTTTCTCCATAATAAGCCCCCAGACTAAGGTTTGAAGGTTTGGAATACGTGAATAGGTAGAACCAGACCATCACGTTGGTCTAAGGCTCTAAGCCAAAACTTGAGATAATGCCTCCTAATAACAACAGGGTTAAGCAAATCGTGCTTTAGTGTAGTTTGCATAAAACAGAACTTTTAGATGACGCTAGCTAAATTAATAGAATATGAAATCTACACATCAATTTTACATCCAAATGAGCTAAGCACGCAAACTTGCCACCAGTCACTTCAGTCATTGGGTGACCAAACTGTAGAAGTTTCAATTTTAACAAAACGGGATTGTGGGAAGCATTTAGTAGATTGGATTGAAAAAAGTTCAGACATATTTTGCAGCTAGAACTGTACTGTACTTCACTCCAGGTTGAATCTGAGTTGTGGGAGACGAATTAAAATCATGGAGTTGATTCTGTTGAAAAGTTCAAATTGGTAAAAAGTATGCACAAGCACAAAAAATGATTTGGCAATTTTGATTTGAAGGTTCAATTAAGAGTGATTGGATACAGCCTTGTAAACCTGAATGCAGCTCTTTACACGCCTCTTAATTCAATGCATATGTTTGTATTGTTCATAGTGATCAGAGTTTGAAATAAAATGTATTGTTTATATTGCAAAGGTGGAAAATAAATGTAGCTTAGGGTTGAATGGTTGGGATCTTGGTGTTCTCTGTCCTTGCTCACACTAGGTAACATTATCAGAGCATGGGGGAGCAAAATTTGCTGCCTGTTACTAAGAGGTGGTTTGTCTTTCAGTTTTGATTGGGGTATTATTCCTCTTTATCTAGTATTGGTTCCTGCTTATCTGGCTGTTGAATCCTGTAAGAGCTGTGTAATTAAAAAGGCTATAGTTAGCCTTTGACTCTGAGAAATTTATAGATGAAGCTTTTCTCAATTTGCCTTTTAATGGCTATTTGTCAGAATGCCAAGTTTCTAGAAATTATTTTGCATTTTTGTATCTGACTTATCTATAGCTTCTATTTTTAAAAATGTCTCTGCATGTGCTCTTTTGCTTGTTTTTATTATTAATGAACTCTGGCTTAGCTCAAAACTAAAAAAAATACTTAAGACAGAAAAAGAAAAAAAAGTGAAGCTGGAAAAACTAGTCGGACAAGTAGGGGCTATATAAGTATTTTGCTTTCTTAGCTTAAGGGTCGTAGCTTCTAGAAAAACTAAGAACTGTGAATATAATGCAAAGGAATGGAGTAAGCATCTTATGTGCAGCCCCCAATCTACTGAGATTGGTGTCCTAAGAGAGTCATTGGGAATTGGGTGGCATACAAGTTTAATTATTATCCTGGCTAGTTGCACAGTCAGCCAGATTTTTAGACAGGATTTGGCACTTGTGTCTACTTGTTGAGTCCTATTCTGATTAATTCTTGAGCCTGGATTTAAACAGCATCACCAAACCCAAATTGCTTAATTTTAGGCTTGGTATGCTGCTAGAATCCATCTAGTCTGGTTGATTTGTGATCCTATCTTTCAGGATCTGTCAACTCAAAATATTGGGCAGACTTGTGTGAAGGATTCTTCTTTGTCGTCATGATACGGCGGCTATATAGTTTTTGTGGTGGGGAGAAGGCACTAGGACCTGCCTCATTAAGGCATTTCTTGTTGCCTCTAGCATGCCCTCCAGCAGTTTCAGCAGTTAAAGAAGCTTTTAATGCATTTACATATTTATCTCTCTAGAAAAGCTCATAGCTCACTAGAAAAGATTTCTCTTAAGGCTATCAGCATTGCGGTTCAAAAAAAACAAAAACCCAAAACCCACGAATGGCAGGAAAGGAGGGTGAGTTTTTGGCTATCAAATCACCTTATGGATATTTGTAGTGTGTATGGATATTTGTAGTATGGATAGTCCTAGCTTCTGTGTATGCATAGGAATCTTGTCAAGGCTACTAAACTGCCAACAAGTTAAGCATAGTACTGTAATCCACCAGTTTTCTTTTATAAAAGAAGAGAGTACTTGTTGTTTCAATCAGCAGCTGCATGAAACTTCATCAGAGTGAAGAGCTATTCTGACGGTTTGGGCAACCCTAATAATTGGTCAAATTATGGTAATACTGATGTGAGAACGTAATTATCCTTCCATCCTATTTCCCTCTGTGTCCTATCTATATAAATGCTTGTGGTACTTTAGATGCTTCTCTTTGAAACCGCTAGATGGCAGAATTTAATTAGCATCATCAGAAAATCTGTGGATTAAATTCTTATGTGCACTAGTCCGAGTGTAAAATCTGTTGTTATGCAAGAACATATGAAACTTCAATTTAATATACACACACACACACACACACACACACACACACACACCTGATATAGTAGCTTATAACTTTAGTTCAGACTCCCATTTAGTAGGTTTTCTATTGGATCATCCCCTTGATATGTTTGGTAAAATGAAGTCGTTCAAACAAGACAGTTATATTTACATTAATTTTAAGATAGATTATGGAAATTTGCCACAATGACATCCTAGGGATCTTGTAAGACTTGGAAACAAACCTTAGAAAATATTTAAATACAAAGTAAAAAACAAATCATTCTTGTAAATTTGAAGGCAGGGCCAGTAGGCTGTCCAATGCTCAGTTGCTGAGTAAAATGTGATTTATCTAATATTTGAATATTGCATTATGCAAACTCAACTAATCAATAAAGAGATTTATCTAGCGTTGTATTGCTTTTTTCATATTTGTTGACATAAGACCATAGGCTGAATTAAGGAAAACTTCTTGGGCCAGTCTAGGGGTAGGCAACCTTGGCTCTTTTATGACTCATGGACTTCAACTCCCAGAATTTCTGAGCCAGCATGGCTCAGTTTGGAAACCTCTCCCTTTCCCCTCAGCGTGGCTTGTTCAGGAATTCTGGGAGTTGAAGTCCACGAGTCATAAAAGAGCCAAGGTTGCCTACCCCTGGGCTAGTCATAGCCCTGGGAAGGAGGCTGTGGCAAAGCACTTCTGACATCTTGCCAAGAAAACTGCAGGGACCTGTCCAGGCAGTCATCAGGAGTCAATGCTGATTTAATATGTTTGCATAATCCTGTATTTTGCTCTGGGAAGTCGGGGGGGGGGAGGGGGGTGGAGGGTGGATGAGTTGAAGTTTAAGTAGTTCAGATAAAGTAGAAATAGTTTTATTGTATATAATATTAATGTTTTAATTTTGAGAGAGGAACTGCTCGGGCATTTCCCCTGGACCGCATCAAGAGGGAGAAGAAGAAGGTGAGAAGTAAGTAGGAAGGTGGAGGTGAAGGAGGAGAGGGGGTGAGTGAAGAAAAAGAGGGAAAGAAGTAAGGTGGTTTGAGGTGGGATGCGGTTTGGGGGGAAATGGGCGGGCAAGACCGAATGTGGTGTGTATCAATTTGTTTTGTTTTTTATCTGAAGTATTTGTAAGATTGTTATGTATTGTAAAATTGAAAATAAAAATTTTTACAAGAAAAAAAAATTCAATGCTGATTTGAAGTCACCCTTCACCCCCAATAATAATAAGCAAGCAAACAGATGTTGTGAGGTCTGCCTCCTCCTCCTCCTCCTCCTTCCTCCTCCAATAAATTAAAGAACCCCCAAAGGTATTCCGAGATGTCTTAAATATTTATGACCTAAGCTTCTTAATAATACATCAAATGCAGGGTAGTTTTTAGAGAAAATTAGTGTGTGAATACTTCTTCACAACCTTTTGGCTCAAGGAAATCCCTGCTGTATAACAACTAAGAGAGTTACCACACAGGAGTTCTTTAAAAATATAATTTTATTAAAAGATTTGAAAAAGATAAAAACTAGTACAAACTAATATAAAGTAAGAAAGAAAAAAAAGAAAAAAAATCAAAGAGAAAGCCAAAAAGTGCAAGAAAGGAAAAAAAGTAAAATAGAAAAGAGAGAAAAAAGAATACAAGAAGTGACTTCTGATCTTCTTTACAGTCATTATAAATACAGTTATAAATTTACCCCTTTCTCTAAAATTAGAACCTGTCTTGTTTCTATCATCCTATCTAATCATCAAAACCATAAGTTTGTTTTTCTGTTTTCTACAAAAAATCTATTAGAGGTTTCCAGTTATACTTTTGCATTTCTGTTGGATGCTTTTTGTTAAAAAGTTTTAAGAAAAGGAGATTAAAAACTAATGCAAACTAATGTAGAGTAAAAACAAGAAAAAGAGAATGCTAAGAAGGGCAAGAATGGAAAAAAAGCACAAGACAAATAGAAACGAGAAAAAAAAGTTGATTTCCTCTTTCCCCCAAATAAGCTCTTTTGCAAGCATTGGGTTAATACAATTCTTATTATTTTGATAAATAACAATTAAATGTATATTTTTCCAATATTCCTAAAAATAATAATATTAGTATATTATTATTTTTAGCAATTAATTAATTAATTAATTAATTATATGGAATATGGATTATAGAAATTAAGTGTTAATGTTTCTTTTACAAATATAACCCAGACAACACACTGTTCGTCAATTATTGAGTGGGGAAAAAAAGAAATTATCAATAATATATATAAAAAAAAACCAAGAAAAAAAAAGATACTACACAGGAGCTCTGAAGCAGGAAGGAACATACTACCCCAGTCAAGTATCACTCTCTCAGCTCCTTGACTCAAAATTTTAAAAGGCAGATTCTGCAGTAATGGAAAACAAGGGAAGGCTCAGTCCAGTAGAAGCCATCTGGTTTAATGGCTAAGAAGAGGACAATACATTGGGAGGAGAGGCCAGCAGCTTTGGGAGTGGGATCTTCCGGGAGAAAGCTAGCAACTTCCTCAAGGGAGGAAGGGAAGGTGTAGCATATTCCGTTTAAAGACTTTCATCTTTTTCCATTGCAAAATTCCTTTACACAATGCCGAATTTTCCAGGAAAATACTTCGTAGTAGCTTTGGGGTTTATGATCTTTTTAGTTGAGTTGATAGCAGTGTATTCAATCTGGAAGCCTCCTGCTGTTACTGAAGCATCTGACAAAAATTTCAGTGTCATGACATTTCCTGGATTAAGAAAAAAAACGACCATGTATGCACAAGGGAGAATATTACTATTCCTTCTTGGTTTATACAAACAACAGAAACAGAAAGCTCCACGATAGTGGTTCTCAACCTTTTCTTCACCATGAACCCCCTTTAAGTACCTTTTGTGACCACGGACCGTGGCCATGGATCCTCAAGACTTAAGCTTTAAATCATAACATTTCTGCAAGCCTTTGTGGACCTCTGTGATGACACTGTGGCCCTCCCAGGGGTCTGTGGGCCACAGGTTGAGAACCACTGCTCTATGACATTCTTGCATTTAAACGAAAGGCGTAGGTTTTTTTCTTCAGGAAAAAGATTTTCTTACAGATCTGTAATTAGTACTTGGATAGGAGACCACCAGAAAATCACAGAGGTTGCATACTAGATCAAAAAGGTGAAGAAAAACCCCAAAGAATGTTTATCTGACAGTGATCATTGTGGGTTTTGAAGAAGTAGGAAGAGTATTGACACTATTGAATTTTGAAGTTGGAGAAGGTTTCTGAGAATACCATGGACAGCCAAGGAAACAAACAAATGGATCAATGAACAGATCAACCCAGTGACACAACTGACCAGCCTCCAATTACTTTGAATGCATTATGGGAATACCTATCTCTGGAAAAGGTTCTAATGCTGGGAAAGGTAGAAAGATAAGAAGAGGATGACCAGCAGCAAGTTGGATGGATTCAGTTACAGTAACAATAAATGTGGTGATGGAAGACCTGAAAGACTAGGTCAGGGATAGGTCATCATGGAGAAAACCTACAATGACTTGATGGGCCATAATCAAGTGATCATTCAGCTTACTGCAACACAGATTTCGTGGCTTCTAGCTCTTTGAATCTGAGACAGAAATGTTATATTGTAATTTCCTCTGTGGTATTACCTGTGCTAATGACACTCTCTGGTAGTTCATCTCCACAGTATCTGAAAAACATTACAACATAAGTTAGTCAAATAACAGTGACATGTTTACTACTTTTTTTCCCCCAAATCAAATGACGGATGAGTTTGGGGTGTTTGGGTGCTGGCTTTGGATTTTGGAAGAGGTGGCTTTTTGTAAAGCAATGCTTGGCAGCTGTTTTGTGAATGGTCAGGCCCACCCAATAGCCATTTTGTGGGAAGGAATACAACGTATTTTCAAATGTGGCTGCCAGTTCCACAGAGTTAGCTCCTCTCACACAGGGAGGCCTTGATCCTTTAATGTTCAAGAAGTGGATTCATAAGGTATTTTCTCTTATTATTTTTTTACTCTTGAATATTTCACCACGCCCTCCTGAGATAAATTTTCCATTACTAGAAGTTTCAACATTATTTTTTAAAAGTGGAAGAACTTTGGTCAGGGGACGAGAGGGTGGTTACCTCAAATTTTAGGCTTTTTTATTAGCATTTTAAAAGATGATATTACTTTTAACATAGCAGTCTAGGCCTCTTAACATTAAGAAAGTTAAAATGTTTTTTTTTTCTCTTCAGCTAAGGGCATTTCTTTGGTATGTGAGTACCGGTACTTGTTTTTTTCAGCAACTACACCAGGGGTGTCAAACTGCCGGCCCACGGGCCAGATGCGTCATGCCAAAACTGCACCCACCCATTGTGAGCAATGGAAAAAAAGTCGGGATATGTTGTGACACATCATGTGATGTTACGAGTTTGGCACCCCTGAACTACACAATAGAGTGCTGTATTTTAAAAGTCCTTGAATGCATAAGCAAATTTTAAGCAAGATACAGTCCAGCTGGGAAAGAGTAATGTAACCCATACATTTGCCACTTGCTGTATGTGGTCTAAAATCAATGTTTTCTGTTGTTCAAGTCTCACGTATAATCAGTGTCTTTATTGTTTGATCACTTGATTTCTGATGTATCACAGACAGTATACAAAGGTTTGTATCTGTACCCTATTTAAAGACTTGACACACACACCCTTAATAAATGTGTTTTGCTTCGTCTGAATTACTTGATTTGTGTTTTTGGCTGGGCAAAGAAACCCCTTTTCAAAGGTAAAAATCTCTCTCTCAGATTCAGGGATCAAGTTCTTATCAGCTCCAAGCCAAAGTCGGGATGTGTGCTATTAATTCCCTGAAGGTTGGATGTGCATGAGTTCTTTATATATATAAAAAATAAGGGTAGGATATAAGTAAAATAAAAATAAGTTTAATCTAAATGCTAAAGCTGCGCAAAGCATTTGAAAGAGATTATGTATGCTATGCATTACTAGAACTAAGCATCTCTCATTGATGCTTTAAAGTAGCTGTGTCCTTTTCAAGGGCTGCATAGCATTCAAAAGCTCTCTCTGGCCCATGTGCATCAGAGATAATACTTCCTGTGTGAGATCATTAGCAATGCATAGGCAGGCAGGGATCATTGGGAATTATGTCTTGAGTAGCCACACAAACATTAGACAAGACTTGGTTGCTGCTTGAGCAGTTCGAAGAAAAGTATTTTGTTTGCATTAACACACTTTACAAAATAGTTTTTAAAATGCCTTGCACATCTGCTACTAAATCTTGCAATGAAGGATAGGAAAAATAGCTGGGTGGGGTTAATTTGTAAGAGTAAGAAAGTATGTTCTGAAGCATCTGTTCTCTAATTCCCGCCATCCATCTTATATTTAGGTGTATATATTTAGCTCCTTAAGCAAAAGGAATGTCTGCAGGATGTAGTAAAAAAAAAAAATAGCACGGAGGCCAGGACAGTACAGTTGAAGCTCCCTCTTGTTTTTTATGAGACAGTTTAGTCTAGCGATTAAAGTACCAGGCTAGAAATCAGAAAACTGAATTTTAGTCCCACTTTAGGCATGAAAACTACCCTGGTGACTTTGGCCAATTATGCCCAGCCCAGCCCATCTCACAGAGTGGCTGTTGTGGGAAAAAATTGGAGGAAAGAGCATTAGGTATGTTCTCCACCTTGAGTTATTTATAAAAATAATAAATATGGGATATAAATAAATGTGTGTCGGATATAAACAAGAGGAATTTTGATTGTACCACTGGGATCCACCATCTTGACTTTTTTGATAATATGCTACAGGCATCCCTGGAGAACTGTCTTAGTATGGAAAGGAAATGTTTTACTCCCACTGAATAATGTACTTTTTGAAACACGTAACCATTTGTATATTACATGTCTGTACACATTTGTAACCAGATATATGTGAGAAAATGAGAGAAAAACAAAACCTAGGTCCAGAATTTTTCAAATCCAACTTCTGGAGAAGCTAGAAACACAATCAGCAGGCTCAGTTACAGTACTTCTTGCCTGAAAAACACTCTTTGTGGGCAAAAATCTAAGGGCTCTCTCAGTAAAGTAGCTCCAAGCGCTACAAGGTATGTTTATCATAACGTGTCAAAATATAAAAAAATCACATTGGACTGAATCAGAAGCAGGTCCAACGGAATACATTCTGCTCCCCACAGGATAAATCAGCAGCATGAAAAAATCCATAAGATGCCTGCATTCTCAAGAGAGCATTTAAAGCAGTGGTGGCGAACCTTTTAGATACCGAGTGCCCAAACTGCAATCCAAATCCCACTTATTTATCGCCGGATGCCAGGTGGGACATGGCCCACTGGGTGGGCGTGGCTGTGGTGGTCATGGCAAACTGGGTGGGTGTGGCCAAAGTGGGCATGGTCACCTCGATGTTGCTTGTGGGGAGGGACGCCTGTGGGGGCCAGGCAAGGTTGGGGGAGATCCAGGGGGTCTATGGCAGGTAGGGCGGTGGGCAGGAGGCTTGTCCTGCGGGGTGAGGCGAGGTGAGGCAGGGAGGGGGTGCCATTGCCACGGGGCAAGGTGAGGCAGGGGCCAGGGCAGCTGCTGCTGGACACCATCGGCCCCCACACACAGAGGCCAGCAAGCGTATGGGGGCCAAAGGTGTCTGTCAGCAGCCACAGCCTGCTGGCTCCTTGACCCATATACTCTGGACAGCTGGCTGACAGCTGAGGCGGTGATGCAGTGGGTCATGCCCAGGAAGAGGAGAGCATGCGAGGCCAGAAGGAACGGAACCGGGGGGGAGGGAAACCAGCCGTGCTGGGATGCATCCGGCCACGTGGGACCTCAGGCAGCTGGTTGAAGAGGGACGGTTGCCATCTCCAGGGCATAGCATGTATGCCCACAAAGAGGGCTCTGAGTGCCGCCTCTGGCACATGTGCCATAGGTTCGCCACCACTGATTTAAAGAAAGGAAAGTCATAAAGCAGTAATATTTTATTGTCAGATTATTGTTTTAATTTTGTACGCCGCCCTGAGTCCCTTGGGATTGGGCGGCATATAAATTTTAGAAATAAAAATAAATAAATAAATAAATAGATTCAGTGTCTAAAGAGTTATCCCATCCCACCATGCCTGGCCAATCAAATAAGAGTCTAAAATCAATATCCATGAGCCTCCAATTGGCATTTCCTCCTGAGGATGCCCCCAGGAGAAGGAACTCATTTCCCTTATTTTCCCTTTCTGTTGGGGTGGGACATGAAATATTGGGGGGGAAAGGCTTTCCACTAACGCTTGCTGAGATGAGGGAAGTGAACACAATTCCACAGGAGAAGATTAGTTAAGGCAAATATCTTTGGGTGTTTCAAACTTCCTCTGCTACAGTATAATACTCTGTCACTGTCATTCTGCATGGAGCTGGAAAATATTTTTTTAAAAAACCCGAGAGATTCCTATTGGAATCAGAAACACTTCTCAGTGAGAGATAAAAGTAAAGGAATGAGTGGGGAAAATAGTTTGGGAAGAAGATAGAATCAGGACTGAGAGGAGATTGATTGGGATTGCAACTTCCTCTAAGCAAGTGTCATGAGTTTGGAAGATGGTGAGGACTGGGCTCCCCTGCGTAAGGGACAAAGGAGGAGTGGGTTGGAAAAAGAAGGAAAAAGTGTGTGGCTATTAGCATTCCTTTGGCACTTATTAGCTGGGCTTGTACTTATATATGCTTATTAGCTTGGCTTCTGTGTGTGTAAACATGATACATAATCCTTTGAGATTGGGTGGAATTAAAAAAAAAACCTTGGCCTTTTCTCTGATCCCTTCACCCAACCATTTGCAATTTGTACATCTTATATTATGAAAAATCTTGACATTTTACCTGCCCACAAAACCATTTACATCATCATAGCTGTCGTATATTTCCAAGTAATCAGCCATGCAGGCGGTATCATCCTCAAGGTCAAAGTCAAGAAACTGGATTTTGATCCGTTGGCCGTACTTCACTCTTATGTGCCAATAACAGATTTGGTCATCTTCATATTCCTTTGGGTATCCAGGGGTTTTAAAAACATGTTTTGAAGCTGTGAAGATTCCACCACAATCTTTTCCTGAGAGAGGAATAACAAAATCACATGTCACACTCCTCCCAGATGTCAAATTGTGCCTTTGCAGCCTTATAGCACATGGGTTTTGGGGGGCCAGTCTTCTACGGCTCATCTCTAACAATCCTGAAAGTGAATTTAAATCATATGCGTTTTGTAAATCTGCATATTAAACTGAGTGGATACATCGTTAGCCATCTTTCACCCAAATGGTCTTTTCCATGTAGCTTACTATTCCCTAACAGTAGAACAAGCTCTTAACACACTGCAGGTTGGCTACCTGCAGGTAACAGTAAATTCAGAAGCCAACAAAAATTATGAACACCTTCAGAAGAAATGAAAACATACTCATATTCTCTACCCAGGTCATTTCTCTATCATTCATATGGCTCTCTAGTCTAACTTCTACTCCTTCACTCTAATTCAGTGTTTCTCAACCTTGACCATTTTAAGGCATGTGGACTTCAACTCCCAGAATTCCACAGCCAGCAATGCTGGCTGTGGAATTCTGGGAGTTGAAGTCCACATGCCTTAAAATTGTCAAGGTTGAGAAACACTGCTCTAATTTATTCCCAGATCGTTTCCAAGCACTTAAAGGAAGCCCTCGACTTACAACAGTTCATTTAGTGACCGTTCAAAAATTACAACGGCCCTGAGAAAAGTGACTTATGACCATTTTTCACATTTTCACATGTTGCAGCGTCCCCATGATCATGTGATCAAAATTCAGATGCTTGGCAACTGGTTCCTATTGATGACACTGGTAGTATCCCAGGGTCATGTGATCACCTTTTGAAATCCTTCTGACAAGCAAAGTCAATGGGGAGGCCAGATTCACTTAACAACCATGTTATTAACTTAATAACTGCGGTGATTCACTTAACAACTATGCCAGGAAGGGTCATAAAACAGGGCAAAATTCACTTAACAAATGTCTCGCTTAGCAAGATAAATTTTGGGCTTAATTGTGATCTATAAGTCAAAGCCTACCTGTATTCAGGGAATTCCACTGCCTTCCTCAAATGAATAACTGAACAACAGAAATATAAAAACCTGTGCGCTTGATGTGCTTTTAGCAATTCCGCACCAATACACCTTCCAGATATTTACTAAGCAGAAGCAGACCAATTCAATGCCTTTCTGCTGAATCTTAAGAAGGCATATTTATGTAATTTATTTAAAGCATTTCTATAACAGCGCATCTTGTGTCAACTCTGGGCAACTTGCAACCAAGTTGCGATCCCAGATGATTAAGAACCATCTTTTGATTCTCCAGGTCATCCAGGAAACCGATGGGAATAAAAAACAGCTAGCGTATAGCAACTATTTTTACTAGAAAACAGACTAATATTCTGGCACTGAGTACACCACACATCAGTTCTTTTTGATTGGAATATGAGACAATGCAAAGTGATTTGATGATGAACCTCTCAAGACACGGTTCCACCTGCAGTCTCGTTTTTAAGTTTCAACATCATTCACTAGTAATGGAAACCTACTTTTTTTTTTCTAGAATGGAAAGAACATAACTCACCAGCCAATGCAAACAACTGGGTTTAATTAAGCTTTTCATCACCCAAACAATACATTTGGGGGAAAAAAATCAGACTTGCCTCTCAGAGGATATGGCCAAATAGGAAGGGAAGAGAGGTGGACTACATGCAATTTTATGAACAAGAGGCCTCTCCCATTTTCCTGACATCTGTAAGCATTTATTCAGTGCTTACACGGAGAAATCGCCATAACTTTTCATGTATGATGTATGGTTCTTTGCAGCACTTCTCAAAGGAGGCACAGTATTGTTGTGCACATTGTTCAGAAACATAAAATGTTGCATTTAGGAGAAAGAAAGAAAGAAAGAAAGAAAGAAAGAAAGAAAGAAAGAAAGAAAGAAAGAAAGAAAGAAAGAAAGAAAGAGAGAGAGTGGAAGGAAGGAAGGAAGAAGGGAAAGAAAGAAAAAGGAAGGAAGGAAGGAAAAGAAAGAAAGAAAGACAAAGAAAGGAGGAAAGGAAAGAGAGAGAGAGAAAGAGAGAGAGAGAAGGGAGGAAAGAACAGAAATCAGTGTAGTTTCTAATATTAGACTATTACAGTATATAACATAGTATGGAAAATTCTATTTCCATTAAAAAAGATTCAAAACACAATTGTTTATTAAAAGAAGTGAATGTGTACATTAATTAAACAGGGCTATACTATACTTCCGTGTTGGAAGACTGAAGTGTTTCCGTGATAAAGGAATCAACTAGTGACATCACCGTTGCCCAGGGGAGGCCCAGTTGGCTCCTTTTGTGTCCCCATTAAATTGTCCACCGAAGTAGTACCCATCTATCTATCTGTGGTCACCTGCTTTTGAACTGCTGAGTTGACAGGAGCTGGAGCGAGTGATGGGAGCTCACCTTGTTATAGGGCAGCAATGGGTCTCAAATGCAAGCCTGCGGATCATCAGACCAGCGTCCTAGCCACACAAGCCACTGCGCTCCCTAATTAAACAGGGCTCTGGCATTTCACATTTGCTTCTAAGCTTTGGAGTATACATAAGAGTTATTTTCTGAAATAACTTTCAAAATTGAAGCCAAAGTATTGCAGATCTCTACAGACAAGTAATAATGAAAGCCCCCCCCCCAAATTGAAGATCCTTGCTACTAGAATAGAAGCATATTCTCTATATTATCCAGTTTAAAAGGTAAAGGTTTGTTTGTCAGTCGTGTCCAACTCTAAGGCATGGTACTCATCTCTGTTTCTTGGCCAAGGGAGTCAGCGTTGTCCAAAGACCATTTCCGTGGTCATGTCAGTAGCGTGGCTATATGCCAAAGGTGCACGGAATGCTGTCACCTTCCCATCAAAGTGGAGCCTATTAATCCACTCACATTTGCGTGTTTTTGAACTACTAGGTGGGCAGGAACTGGGGCAAGGAACAGGAGCTCATCCCATTGCCCAGAGCCTGGGTCTCGAACCTGGGTTGTCAGTTCTCCAGCTGACAAGTTCAGTGTCTTTAACCGCTGAGACTAAAATCCCACTTTCAACGATTCCATAATGGGTTTAGAAACAACATGAGTTGTTTCTTTCGTTTTGTCTTTAATGTACAGACTCAACAGTTATTTGTGGCGTAATGTTAAGCGTGAAGTGGGCTATTAAGTCTTGTTTACCAACCATGGATAAACCAAAGCACGGCTTGGTGTGATGGGTGAATTAACCCCTTTTGAACTTAATAGTTTTAAGAATATTTCACGGAATGATAAAGTTTGTCCCCTGAGCATGTCCTGCTTTTGAATTACATCTCCACAAGTATCCTAGAGTAACCTCTAACTTCTGGCAACTCAAGTCAAGGCCAAATGTCACATCCAATTAACAATGACAAGCAGAGAAGCCCTCAGGCCCACTTGGTAGGCTAGCCAGATGGAATGGGTAGGACTTTTCCGAACAGCAACCACTGGGGCACAGCAATAGCTTAAGAACTGGTTCTGCTGCCAGCAGAAAGTGGACTTGGCAGAAACAATGTTGTATGCTGTGACATCCTGGGGACTAGCCCTGTCTTCACTTGCAGCTGTTTTTCTTATAGTTTCTTCTCCAGAAAGACTCTGGCAAGCAAAGGAATGTTCGCAAAGATTTAAACTTATATTTGTAAGAGTTGTAAATGAAATCTGCCCTGAACCTAACGACAGAAACAAAAGGAGTTGGTTGAAGATGCAGATTCTACTGGAATAAGGAATCTAATTTGTTTATGAGCGTTAAATCCTGCTTTCTGCATGTTTTAGTGGAGTGGCTTTTGGCAATTCACTTTGTGTTGGAATACAAGCACAGTATAATTAGGCACAGTATGGGGCTTCTGCTCAGAAAGATGTTGATTGCCTAGTTGTTGTCTTTTCCATCTCTCCTGTAGTATGTTGAATCTCTTAGCATGTGATACATTGTGACAGTACATATTTCCCTCTTACTTTGGAAGTACATTCAGTCTTCTAGGGCATTTCATCAGAAGTCTTAACTAGGCCATTCAGTGCTACCTACTTGTTCAGCAAGAGGTTCTGTTAGCTGGCACGGGACACGTCCTATTCTCATGCTCCATATTTCATAGGAAACAAGCTGTCACACAAAATGATGTTTTTCAAACAGGCAGGATGTCTCTTAGAAATGCTGTAGTGCAGGGATGGCAAACCTTTTGGGTTGGTGTGTCAAAATTTCGGAAAATGCCTAACTTGGATCTGCTGCTATGTCGCTCTCCCACCATAAACAAAAGAAAATAATTCTTTACATCAGGGGTCTTCAAACTTGGCCACTTTAAGACTTGTGGATTTCAACTCCCAGAATTCCTTAGCCAGCCAGGGCTGGCTGAGGAATTCGGGGAGTTGAGGTCCACAAGTCTTAAAGTAGCCAAGTTTGAAGACCCCTGCTTTACATATTGATTTATTTTATTTTTTTTAAAAAAAGAAATACATTTCAATCATGTGTGATCCCCAGAATCTGCCCTACACTGCTTACCTTCAGGCAGAGTTCTCTTTTTGTTGACAGGACCCTGCGGTCTACTTGAGGCAGCTCTGGGCCACAGGAGCCCTTTGTTCTTGGAGGGGCTTTGGAGAATGCTCTCCTGCAGCCCCTGAAAACTGTATGAAAGCACACCCCATTCAGTGTGATTTTTGGAGGTTCTAGAGATTGCGCAAGAGATGGGTCCAGAAGCTATATGACACTGTTGGCAAATCTATGGCACGGGTGCCAGAGGCGGCACTCAGAGCCCTCTCTGTGGGCACATGCACCGTCGCCCTAGTCCTCAGACTTCAGCTGGGTTTTATAAAACCTTTTCGCTTTAGGCCTCCACTGCCATGTGCAAAAAAAAAAAAAAGTTCAATCAGTCAATTTCAACTTCTCGCGGAAAAAAAGATCTTGCAAAGTTGGAATTGATTGATTGAACTTTTTAGTCCCACCCAGTTTGCTGTTACCACCTCAGCCACGCCTACCCAATGGGCCACACCCACCCGGCACCCAATAATGCATAAGTGGGTTTTGGGTTGTAGTTTGGGCACTCAGTCTCTAAAAGGTTCGCCATCACTGCTATACAATAATGTAGCCTATTCTCAGACTGCCTCTGAAAATTGTATGAGAATAAGGCTTGCTTTTGAGAATAGTTGTGGGTGTTGGTGACTACTAGCCCAAAATGTCATGGTGTACCCCTTTTTTACATGGTTCACCAACACCACTCTAGTAGATCCTGCATTGAGCAGGGGGATGGTTCCTTAAAAGCCCTTCCAAATCTAGGATTTAATTATATGTTAGTTACTGTACTTTCTGGCATATAAGATGACTTTCAAAAGCGTTGAAATGGCACCAAAGTCGGGGGTCGCCTTATACGCCGGAAATAACAGTAGTTTCCAGCGTATAAGACGACTTTCTAGGCATGCGACTCGACGCCGAAGTCGGGGGTCGTCTTATACGCCAGGTCGCCTTATACGCCGGAATATATGATACTCTTCTAATATGAAGATTTTTGCATTACTGCCCACCTTGTGAGTAGACTCTGCTAATAAAATTATTATTACTGGCTATACCTTCTACATTTCTCTTCTTGTAATGTGATCATTTAAAATTGCCAAGATAATTTTATACTTTTTTCTTCCACCATGAAAAGTTATACAGTTCTAAATTAAGATATATTCATGCATCTGATGAAATGGGTTTTAGCCTACAAAAGTTTTTGCTAACATTTAGCATACCGTTATTCTCTAAGATGCCATAGCAGTTAAATGCAGGTACTTTTGCAAAGGTATAACCTTAAGTTTAAGTAGCTGTAAGAAATATATTTAATGTTCACGTACCATTAGGATTATAGCAATAGGCATCCCACTTCTCACTTTTGTTGAGCCGAAATCCATAATCTACAATCCCTGTCTTCCCAAAGCCGCAGTTGCTTCCTGGTTTGACAATAGGATAGCCAACTCTTCCCTTAGATAACCAGCCAGCAGCACACATATGGAAGCCTGAGGGATGAAAAGCAAATGTCACACAAGTCAAGTGTTGGCTAAGAGGGGATGCTGAACTTCAGATTCACAGCTTCTTGTACTCATTACCACCGTACAATAGAGTCCCAGTTATTTAAAACTGAATTAGGGTTTGCTAGCAAAACAGTTTCTACCCCAGACACATAGAAATGTATATGCCTGGTTCATATTATTTCAATTGTGGCATCTTTGCTTTTTACCAGAAAAAGAACCATTTCACTTTATACAATTAAAACTTATGGGAGGCATAGGCTAAGTAAATTGTAGTCCTGAGCATCTTTATTGAAAAATGCCTGATTAATATAAAACATTACACTACTGTAGTCTTGGTGAGTTAATTTCTATTCTACCCAGAATGCAAATCTATTTAGCACAACACCATCCACTCTAGAATACACACATTTCAGATCATGTACGATATAAGATTCCTTATAAAGGTGAAGGTTTCCCCTTTTCAGTCGCATCCGACTCTAGGGGGCGCTGCTCATCTCTAGTTCCTAGCTGAGGGAGCTAACGTAGTCCGAAGACAACCAAGAATATTTTATAATAGTTTAAACACATCTATAAGTCATTCGTTATGTACTTTAATTCTGAAAAAATATAAACCTTTGTTTATACTTTTCTCCTCTGCTGAAATATCTTTGACTTACCCTATTCTGAATTTTCTGTTCAACAAATGAGGCTGTGCATATTTTACTTGATAATATAGTTAGCTCAAGCCACATATTGTTAGTGTTGGTCACTGGTTTACATCATGTATATGAATGCACTTTACTTGGGTGTAAGTTCCACAGAACTAACTGTGTTGTACTGCTTGTATGGATATTTAAACTGTATCTGTCCAACATATGATCAACTCAAGACCAAATGGATGTGTATCCTAATACACAGAGTTCTTAGAATATTGTCTTTTGTGCTGCTTATAATTTACTTTTCAAAACAGTTTCAGCAACATGGGCAGGTCTTTTAACATACAAAATCAAAAGCCCATGATGGACAGACATCACAAAGTTTGCTAACCACTAGATGGCCAGAAGGGGTTGGAGTTTTTGGTGCTTCCATCTAGTGATTGACCAAATTTATGCAGCCCAGATATGTAATGACTAACAAATACATTCAAGTCTTATTATCCCTTGTAGTGCTTGTTCTAATGGATTACACTCACTAGTGACATCCACTACACCATTATACCTATTTTTCTTGCAGCCTCCAATTGTTTGAATGTTGCTAAGTGTCCTCCTTCATATTTACACACTGATTTTGCCTCATCATAAGTCAGCTGGTATTTTCCAGACCGTCCTTCTCTGTGATACACTCCGGCTGCTCGTTCTGTTAATTCAAAGAAAAAGTTGCAATGGAGGTTAAAACAGAAAAGTTTTGGCATAATGACTACCATATTGGAAAAATAAAGCATGGAGATTTCTCCTCTTGGATTTTTTAAAACCTCGTTGAGTTCCTTTCAGAAGAACTAAATGAACGAGGGAGAAGTAACCTCATTAAAACCAGAGAAAAATTCTATATCTGTTCCAGGCCTGGAATTGGTTAGCACTGGGACCTCCAATGTAATTCCTGGCAACACCAATTTGTTCCTTGGTATCCCTCAAGTTTTCTGATTTTTTTTTTTGCATTAAAAACATTTTTTTTAATTTTAAAAAAGAAATGAAAAGCTGTCTGAGATGCTGAAAAGCATAGGCATAGCCTCCAGAGCATCTGTACTGCCAAGAACACTTTTCGGCCCAAATCAAACTTCATTATAAAAGTAGCATTTAAAGAAATGGCTGGCTCTACTCCACTATTTTGTTGGATGTGTGGCTGCCTGCCTAGAAAAAGAGCAAAAGTGGGGAGAAGTTGTACTGTACCTGGTACCTGTACCTGGTACTGTAAATAAGTGTTTGGAAAAGTTTAAGTCCTAATCACTATGTACCTTTTTTCATTTGTAATGCCTGAGAGATCTGTTTTAAGAGTGTACTTTCAACAACTCCTAAATTTTCAAAATTTCAATGCCCATTGTAGGGAGTCAGCACCCCCCCCCCAAAGAATGAAATATTTTGGGGGAATATTAAAAAGGCAGAATAAAATATTTTCCCTAAAGGAGAAATGGAGAAGAAAAAAAAATCTTAACAAAGGCCCCAGTCTCTCTGCCCCAGGCAGAAACTGAGCAGGCCAGCTTTTAGAAATGCAGATTTGATAATCCATTCAGGAAGACTGGGGGCAGGAAGGCTGGATCTGAGGGGATTAGAAAAACAAAGACTCCAAGGACAGGACATAACCTAGGACATAATAGGATTAACCCACCACCATTAGAATACCAAAAGGGCACACTCAAGCTCAGGTCAAAGTACTCAGGCTAGAATAGGCACCTCAAATAAAAGCCCAAGAAGGTATAAAAACCCATCCACTCTCAACTCCAGTTTGTCAGCTGTCCCAGAACCACATGCTGCTCTTGGTTCTCTTCATCAATAAACTGGAACCTTCTTTCCTAAGCAGCTTTCATTTTTATTTCCATTTATTTCCATTTTATTTACTCCTAGCTTGGAACTGGACCTGATGGCTTTTCTTTCAACACCATCAACCTGATGACCCATCAAACCCAAAAGTTCTGGGACCCCTGTATTAACAGCTGTATTAGCATTTCCTACAATCAAGAAGATCTTAAATTCCATCCTCTACCCCTTTGTATCCTTTTGCCTCTGACACTACAGCGATGGAGATAAGGATTATAGAGGTACCACAATAGTTGCGAGCCGAGGTGAAAGCTGCCTGTTCCTGTACTGTAACACCTACAATATTCTCTTCAGGAATCATACGATGGGTGTCCAAGTGTATTTAGAGTAAGATAGCAGGAAAAAAAAATCTGTTTGTCCATATGCTAAAGATGGTGTTTTTGCTGGCCTTTGGCTATCAGAAAGTGATCTGATTTAATTTGAAGAATAGTATTAGAGTGTTAGTAAGCCTTAAGTGAAAAACTGGCTGTGTTTCAAGAACACATTTTCCCAAATCAAGATTGGAAGATGGGGCTTTTGTTTGTTTGTTTGTTCTAACATAGGCAAGGAGAACTCCCAGCATCCCCACGTGGCCATATTAGGAACATTCAAGTGGTGCAGAAATGATGTAATAAAAATAAAAGTTGTTATTGCAAAATTATAATTATGTAACATGAATTTTTATATGAGGTTTTTGCGGGTTTTTGTATGTAGGTCTTTGGTTATTCGGGTTTTCTCCTGCGTAAAATTGGAAGTGTCTTTGCGACGTTTCGACAAAGTCCCATTCATCATCTTCAGGCTGGTGTTTTCGGCTTCATGCTTCTAGGAGCATGAGGCCAAAAACACCAGCCTGAAGATGACAAATGAGACTTTGTCGAAACGTCACCAAGACACTTCCAATTTGACGCGGGAGAAAACCCGAAACCTCAGAAAACAAATATATATATATATATATATATATATATATATATATATATAAACACATAAACTCATATGCCACCCGACTCCCAGTGGCACCAGGCAGTAACCACATAAAGCACAATTAAGAATGCATGGAGTGTTTTTGCTGCCTCAAGTTGAGTGAAGAACTCAGACTCCTTTTTTGCCGCCCTCACAGCCATCTCAAGAAGGCATCACAGAATTACAATAGCATGGATTTTCCAAAACCAGCAAAACAGTGTTGTGCTGTTTTGAATTTGGAATAACACAAAAATCATTGGATAAACTTTAAAATAGAACAATAAAGCAAATAAAGGAAAAAATTATTTCTTAAAAATATAGGGAAAGGAAAGGCCACTACATGCATATGTAGTTCATTTTGTATCATTATTTGGTCCACTTAGCCTTGAGAGAGAATCAGCAAAAGCCATTATTCCAAAAACTAAGTTGACCAAACTGCTCTGTACGTATAATCGATGCTGCTTTCCTCTCTTCCTTTTCTGCCTTGAAGTAAATTACAATTGTCCTTAGCTTTTGCCTGTCCTTTGCCTAAAATCCATTGAAAGATATGAAGCGTTCCTGAACAAGTGGGGAGTGAATAGGCCACACTATAAACTTCCCCACAGGTCTGAATTCTGTGAATTATTACGGAAACTTGCCTGTTCACAAATGGCTATAGATAGCCAAAGATGACCAATTAACAGAAAGTAAACGTGTGAGGTAGCTTCCTTCCATCTTTTCTAGATGAGATGTGCAAAATTTTACCCTGTGCAAAGAAGGAATTGTCTCCAGAATGACTCTAGAAATCATAGAATCATCCCCCCCCCCAAAAAAAGGCAAGATTTGGCATGGTCCAAAAGGAAATGCAGCGTTCTACAATACTTTGAAACATTCTGTTCCTAAAATTTGATTAATTTTGCACATTATTTTTGCTTTTTCTCTATCTTTTTCACTATCCTGCCATTCCAGGAGATTTACTATCAATTCCAATTATGGTTATTCTTTAATGCAGATAGGCACATTTACAGTCAACTGGCCTGAAACCACTGAACACTTTTCTTTGCTGAGTTTTTATAATCTAGGAGCATTGTTGAAAATAAAAATAATGCTGCAGACCAATACTTTGCTTTATAACTGCCAAATTTCATTTACATTTTATTTACAATTAATGGTTTTTTAATGTTAAAAAAAGATAAAATGAAGCAGAGAGCCTGACAGGACTGAATGATTTTTAAAAGTGAAACCAAAGGCATTGCAAGTAAAATAGGCATTGATGGGGTGCGAACTATAAATATTTAGTATATGCTTCTATATTTTCCATAATGTTGAGATTACGGTATCACCTCTTTGAATGACAGACCTATTCTATGAATGCTGTTCTGGAAAATTAAATGTACAACGGTAGAATACTAGGAATTTTGGACTTTGGAAGAATGAAACTCATTATTTTTATGGAACTAATAAAATTGAATTGTATAGTTATTACAGAAATGTATATCAATAAATTAAATGTAACTAAAATGTAATGAATTAATGTCAGCTTAAATCAGCATTCTTAATTTTAACAGCATTAAGATAACTTATGAATAGCCTACAAATAAATACAGTCTACACAACAGTGCAGGATTGGCGAATCTTCTGTAAGGAGATGGATAATAAGGGTTTTAGTTTTTTGTTAAATGCAAGCAAAATTTGTTTTATCGTATTTTCACACCCTTCCAGCTTGGCTAATAGATTGCCAATGAATGCACTGCCTCATATGGTAATGCATTTAGATTTAGAGATTGAATCTCCCCTCTCTGTCCCACTCAAACAGCTGAGCCAGGGTTCTCTGTTTATTCCAAGATTATTCCATAACAGAAGCAATTTACTGGACTGATGTAATTTGGCTACTCACAGCATCAATCATGAATAACTTTCCCAGGTTTGTTTGGAAAAACCCATCAATGACATATTGTTGGATCAGTCCAAGAAATGATGTAACAGTTAGCATGACTTCGCTGAACTTGGATGGGTGGGTGGCTTCAAGGGGTAAATAGAGCTCCCTGGGCCCCCAGGCAAATCTTATAGATTCCTTCCCACCCACCCCTCCCACCTCACCTCACTACCTGCACCTTCAGGATGAGTAAACTCAGGCACTGAGTTTTATGAGGCTGCAAAAATCAAGGGAGAACAGGAGAAAAGGAAGAGCAGAGTCACATAGCCTATTCTTGATTGAGGGGAGACCACAATGAGTGGTGTCTGAGGTGGGGGAGCAAGAGGATTTAGGGCAGTGGTTCTCAACCTTTTTAATGCTGTGACCCCAACTGGTCATAAGTCGAGGACTACCCAACCGGTCGTAAGTCAAGGACTTTCCCTGCCCGGGAGCGCCGCACATGTGTGGTGCCACCCCCTGCGCCAGCCGAGGCGTAGCTGGCAAGCGGCAGAGATGGCGCAGGCCGACCACCGGCTGGGCAACCAGCTGACCCAGCCCAAGGGAAGTAAGGCACCCGCCGGGCCCCACGTGCACCAGCAACCCTCCCTGCGCCCGCCAGCCTCCCACCTCCCACCCCTGGCCCTCTTTTACTTACATTTTTAATAGTTGCTCAGCAGGGAGGGGTGGAAACTTCCAGACAGCTTGCCTTCACTGCAGACAACTTGCAGCACCGTTTGCAGAATGGGACTTTTGGCGGGCTCAACAGGGCAGAGACAGCCTGGACAATTCCTATTGGCTTTTGAAAGCCAATAGAATTAGATTCTATTCAAAAGAGTCTATTCTATTGGCTTTCAAAAGCCAATAGAATAAAAGGGAGTAGCACAGCTAAGGAAAAGGGGAAAAAATGGCAGACTGCATTGTTTGGCGACCCCCATGAAATGGTCGTTTGACCCCAAATGGGGTCCCGACCCACAGGTTGAGAACCACTGATT